TACATAGTAATTTTAAATAGATGTTCATAGTTTGAATGGGAAATAAAAGACTGCTTCTATCTTACTAACTTTTTATTTGCTATATCCGTTAAAAGAAGCAAAGGTGGACGCTCAGTACTCATGGTTCCTAACCCCTTGCAAAATTTCAATACTAAGTTGTTCTTAAAAGCTTCTTAGTTATGAATACGACGTCATTAATTTGAAATTTGAGGTCCTATAATTATCTATAAAATAATTATTACAGGAAATCTGTGCCCCCTTCGAATGTCTGTCAAAATGTCTGTGCCCTCTTCGAATTACTATCTCCCAGTATTGGCACCCTGGGAAGCCATCTTTGCATTTTAGAGATTTCTTCATAATGAAAGGTAGTAATTGCACATGTCCTATTCTCACTGATGCATGTTAAAAAAAGCCAATGGCATTGCTAAAAACGTGAGAATATTAGCATAATCTACAGCCGCTGTTGATACTTGTACCAGAAAAGCAATATTTTTGTCGGAAATTTCAGCAAGATAAACTATGAAAAGTTAATGTTTGCAAATTTAGCGGGAAATGAAGCACGGTTATTTGAATCCTCTCGACTTGAAATGTGCACTTGACAACAAACGGTAATTTTTTTGCCAATTCTTGAGAAAGACGGTAGCTACGTGGGGTATCTGATCTTGCATTGTATAAACATCATCTATTATTCATAGAACCTCTGTCAACAAAATTTGGCCTTCCTGTTTTGACAGCATTTTTAAATACTTTACTTTATAATTACTCAACAAGGCGATCAAACCGTATTTTTTTCTACAGGACAATTAAGAACTGTAGTATATATGGCTTAAATTCAATTCAATAATATGAAACAAAAGTATACAAGGATTTGCTTGATGAATTCAAAACTTTGCTTTAGAATTTTTGCTCAGCAGAAAATTTCAGAATTTGCTGTGGTGGTCAGACTTGATGACAATATTTTGGATGTGAAAATGTGTGGCTCTTGAATCGCAATCATTTCCCTTTTTAAAGACTTTTAACACAACAACTGAAAAGCACTGTTACCCTATGAATTTCAATGGTCATCAAAATTCTTATTGATCGCAGTATACCTCAGGCTATTGTTATCTTACTTAATCAAAAACGTGAGGCTAATCCTCAAAAATATCGCAAATTTAAATGTACTGCAGATTTTTTAACATGGACGTTTTACTGACGAGATTTATTGTAAAAATTATTTGAAGCTGCTTCCCCTTCTTACTTGAATGAGTGGCATTCAAATTGATTATAGTTCAAGAACTGGAGCGAGCTGGAGAATCGGGGGTGGTGCAAGAAACTATCTGGCAAAGAAACTGCTTGTTCTAACATTAGATGAAGGTAATACCTTATTATATAGCAGTGGAGGGGGCTAAACTGCTCTAAAGAGGTGACAAATGTTCTCTACCTATCTCATAACGCAACACCTGTGCAAATTACGGAAAATCTATGCATAATCAAACATTATTTCTTTCAAACACTCTACAGAATGGGATGCAACAGAGTATTGGATTACTAGAAGGGCCACAGCTTTATATATCACACTATATTTCGTACTCATACCAAGTATTAGCCGATTTCATATCTTCCATTAGAAGAAAGCTCTACAATGCGATTTCGCAACATTTGTATATGTATCTCCAAAAGCCATGTGGTGGCGCATTTCGGGTAAGTAAAACCCTTGAAAGCACAAATCCGTCATCACACCACACATTCTGCAAGGCAAGGTTCAAAACAGAACGATCTCCATCGCTTGTGAACGCGTTTTGCTTTTCTTGACACCGCACTGCCGCTTTCGACATTTGGTCAGTTACGTCACAACATTGATACGAATACCGGATCAGATTCAACGAATGATTTCTCTCCAAAAAGAAGCCACGTAAGAAGCTTGATTGGCCGCAGTCTATATCGTGTCGGTCTAGGTAAATCGCGTTGCCACTGCCGTCGAAATTCCAGGTTGTTGCAAGGTGTCTTGGGCTGCAAATCATGTTTTGCATTTTGCAACAAGAAATTCTATATCTGATTCTAGAAGTATCATGCTGGAGCTGGAAGCTCTTCATCGGCGAATTGGCATTACATTCAACTTGTTTATTGATTAAAGCAAAAAGTGTATGGTTACTTTGAATGTATTTTGTAAACTTAGTTGAGCAATCAGTAATAGCTGAAATAGAATTAATCAAGAATGAGTAAAAAAAGTAATTGGATTCGCTAACTGCAAAAATAATTTTACGAACCTCAGTTTATATTCAAATTTGCCTCTTTCATCGACTTTTTTATAGAATGAGAAATACTTAAGTCCATCAGTTTTCTGTTTTAGTTCTTTTTTGTTTCTTTTGCCTTTTACATTTAGTTATTTCTTGTGCAATGAAAAATTTAGAGATTTCTAAAGTTTATGAAATACAAAAAGAATATCACAATAACAAGACTGTAAGATTGTTGTTTTTCCAAATCACTAGCTGTCAAAGATCTATTTGCTTTGAAATCGAGATGTAAAATTTTTGATTTGACCAATCTTGCTAAATGTAGCCTGACTTTATCAAACAAACCCCTTACCTGGTTGTCTGATGGTCATCTTTTCGTAAATAATATCATAACCTGAACCTTTCTTCATCTCATCTGTGCCGTGAACGAGCTTGAAAACTTTAGTGCCTTTGGTCCTTACAACATTTGTGCATTTATCGATTACGTTGCATTGAAAAAACTCCTTCCTGAGAAAAAACTCCTCGTTTTCGTCATCGCCTTGTTCATTGCTAATCAATCTGTAATAGACTTGATCAGCTCCTGCCTCTGCAACAAAGCTCCAAAGGAAAATATTTATGAATAAGATGTAGCGTACCATCATTATGAGGCAGATTGAGGGAAACCAAACTTCTTTCAATCAAATATGCTAAGTCTCAACTGAAGGTGCTATGTTTGCTTTTTTGTATAAATTGATTCTATACCTGGCACGGGGGGATTGTGAGTATATTATTTGAAGGCAGAATTCCCATCTTTAATTTTTTTGCTTCTAGTCAAGTACTTAGGGGCTTAGCCTTTTTTTTAAACGGCAAGATAATCAGAAGACAGCATTTTTTACCAGTCTTCTCAATCTAGTACCTGCAACAACTTTTTCTGATTTGATTACATCGCTAGAAGCTAGCCAAATAAAGGTAATCTTTTACAGATGTTTTTGTTACAGAAAAATCACTCTAACTCGTGCAATTTTTACTGCTTTGTTTGAATCAGGATAAATTGCGATATACAGCAAGATCCTAATTGAAATGCTTGCCAGTACAAAGCAGCAATAACATAAATTGAATATTGAGGAAAATTCATAGCTTTTTTGTCAATTCACAAAGACGATATGTCAAAAGGCCCCTTTTTCGCCAACAAAGTTACGCCTCACATTTACGCTCGAGTCTCCCTTATGCACACAAAGTTGCCTCAAGGTACATAAACACCGTTTTTTAATTAGTTGTGCTTAAATAGCTTCAAAAAGATTTGTTCAGACAAATCTTACTCCATGATTCAATATTTGCTTTCCTGGCTTAATAACGCAAGTTGCTATTCCTGCTAAAGCCACGTGAACGATAAATAAATCTCCTTGGTTTCAATACAAAAATTACTTCTAATGCAATAAGTTTTTAGAAAAGATTTTAGAGTACAATACATCGTTAAAGAGCTCAAGTAGACAAAAAGTTAAATGGTCAATGAGGTTTCAGCCTGGATATTCAATCTTCTTACAAGAGCCTCAATTTTTTCTTAAGGTTTATTCTCATAAAAAGAAAATTGCTTTACAATAGAAAAGCAAGGGCATATGACGATAGCTCGAGTTGATCAGAACTGGAGAACGTTCTTCCAGGTTGTGGTCCTAGGGACATCTCGATCAAACTTTGTTTGACATCTTGTTTACCTCGCAGGGAACTTGTAAATTACAGAATATTCATGAAGCTGAAATGTATATCCATTTAAAATATTGAATATTCATACACACACACGTAGGTGCATCACAAAATGGTTTACTATGCATTATTTCTTTTAGCAGGCAAGAATAAAATGGTCATTAACAGCCTGAGATTGTAAAGCAAAAATCTGGAAAATTAAAAAAAATTTCTGATATTTTTGAAGAATATAATCTTTGTTATAGTTACTATCTATCATCGAATCCTGCCTAAGCTGCAGCATAGTTAATGAAATTTTAGGAATCACACAGATAACAAGAGCCTAAAATTTGGAATTCACTCCCAGAATCAATAAAGACAGCACAAAATACTAGATAATTTAAGAATTTGATCAAAACTTGGTTCCTCAAAAACAAGTGTGCATGCTCCTTTTGCAGTAAATAATCTGTCTTATGCAGTCCTTGAAATTGCTTTATGTTAGTCTTAATTAGTGTATATTCACTATTGTAAAAACTAACATTAAATAATCTATACAACACAAAACCATACAAGACAATACAATACAATACAATACAATCCTTGACTATTGGCTGTTACTTTTATTCTAACCTTGATGTTCTTGCGCGAGAAAACCAAAAGTGTTCAACTTGTGTATTAATCTTCTACTGTGTGACCCTAGGTACAAAAGCACAGGTGAGAAAATGGGACATAATCAAAGAAGCAGAGGAGCGCAAATTTTGCTTGCTTTCTACGTCTGTATTATGGATGTGAGACTTGCTCAAATATTGTCAACATAACATTTGCAAACTACAAAATGAAAAGTGGAAAGGAACTTCGAAAGGAAAATAAGTAAAAATACAAGAAGGGATTAAAAAAACATCACTTTTCTTTTTTACCGTCAAATATTTGCTTCAAGCTTCTTTCGTTTGAATCACTTGCTTCCTAACATTGCAGAGCATTACTGAACAATGCTTTAGAAAAGTAGATTGAAAGGGCTACTGAAGCGGGATGGCTTAAGCGCCCCCTCCCCCCTCCCCTACCATTTTCATAACTTGCAAACTGAATTGTGTGTGAAAATACCTTTGCCGAAGGACATGTGCGGAAATATCACTGGCTGAGGTTTGTGACGTCACATCATGAAAACGATTTTGGCGGGAGATGCCTCGTTTGCGAATTCTCATGTGGCCTGATGTAGATCATATGGGATGAGCTTATTTCCAAGCTGGCTTACGAAACTTTCTTTTGAATGTAACAGGACAACATATTTTTTTAAAACAGTGCAGATGTCTCAGAATAAAAACATCCTCTCTTATTTCACAACAGTCACTCGAAAAAAGCGGGGGAATGACGAAGAGAAGGAGATCAGCGAAGAAAGTAATAAGCGTCCAAGGACGAATGAAAATAACGATAAACAGTCTGGACCCCAAAGATCATCGCTGTCGCCAGAACAAAAGAAAACGATTGAGCAAAATAGGCACACTGCTCTTTTACGACTGCAGAATAATACCAGTGGGATGCTTTCACAGATGGGTGAATCGTGGAGAATTGCCTTGAATGAGGAATTTTCCAAAGAATATTTTCAGAAAGTTATTATCTTTTACCTTTCTCCCTAACTTAAAACTTACACTACTTAATACTTTATGCATTTTTACACAGCCCATTAAAGATGTTATTAAATGGTGTATTACAAAGTATGGGTATACAAATATGAATTCCTTAATCATAAATAATAAAACATACTGATATGTTGAGAAAGTTACACAAATGCTTACAGAGAAGATAGATAAGTTATAAGGTATGAAGCTTGACAGCTTTGAGCAACAATATTGTAAGCTGCAAGAAAGAGTGGTTTGTGCAACATCTTTCACAAAAACATTTCTATAGTATAATATACATATTGTGGGTCAGGTGCAGGTGCAGGAAATCTAGTATAGCTAAGGACATGTTACAAGACAGTGTCTGAGACTCAGCTTTTAAATGATGGAACATATTGATTTAGATATAATTTAATTCTTATTTCCTGGGTAAGAATATCAAACTTTTTAGATAAATAGGTAAAATGGAATTGGGGGTGGCCCCAAGCCCCCCATAAATTCTCCCATTTTACAAGATTCCTGAACAGATTGTTTTTGTGATGGTAACCAGATATGGAGCATATCTTGCATACTGGTCAAACATATCTTGAGAGTTTGCTGCATTTATTATGCTACCTAATGTCATCTACCTAATGTTTTATTAGATGATGGTAAATTCCCTTAATGCTTGGTTTTTATAGCTCAAAAAATTTGTTGATTCTGAGAGAAAAACAAAGACAATTTATCCACCAGGTAAGTGATCTAGATGTAAATCAATAATAAATAATATAATTTTAAATAAAACTGGTATAACAATCATCCTTCTGATGAAAGTTTGGGAAATTATGAAGAAGAAAGGGCAAGGATGGGAAGGAAAAAGCTCAAATCATCAATGGATTTTAACAGTAATTGAACAGGCCAGTAAATCAGAATGTAAACCATACCACCTTGGCTGTCGCTAACTAATGTGGTGGTTGTTGCTAACTAATGTGGTGGCTGTTGCTCACTAAGGTGGTTAAAGGGGATTTTCAAGTCCCATTTGCCAAAAAAAATGGTTGAGCCATCCTTTATTTGCCAAAAAGTTTGAAAATTTATTGACTAAGCACTCCAGAAAATTATTGGTTTCCATACAAAATTTTCAAGGGCCACATAGCAACTGCCCTGCATATTACTGCCTAGACGTTTTTTCAAAATAAATTAGGATTTATTATCTTACAACATATGGATCTCTTTGCTTTTACTATTTTAACTGCCAAGTTGTCATTTTTATCACAACCCAAATTCAAGTTTAACAAATTTAACTGGATACATAGGATCTTTCCCTGTACTTCTAGAAAACGATGTTTTTTCCTGGACAGAGCTGTGTGACATTGAAAATGTGAGTTTTGTTTCAAAGCTTGTTTTGAAAGATTTGATCAATTTTTTAGAATTTACAATTTGTCTTGATTTTAATTCTTTTCTGGACTTTTTCTTCAAGATTTTCTTTTTTCATAGATTTTTTGGACAAGTACATGAAGTTATTCCAGTACCTAAATAAACTTTGAATTTCGCTTGTTAAGCATTTATTGAATTTAAATATATAACAATTTTTATTGTTATTTCCTTAAGGTTAAAGTTGTAATTATTGGACAAGATCCCTATCATGGACCAAAACAAGCACATGGCAAGTGCCATTTCTAATACCTTTCCATGTCCCCAGATTCATGTCGATATGAATTTATTTCTTTTAACAATTTTTTAGATTTAGTAGACATCCTTACAGAAAACATATGTTGTGTTGATTGCCTGGAAAACAGCCCAGGGGGGGGGGTACTTGGATACCAAAATGATGGGAGTGTGCATTCCTAAGATTGTTCTGATGAACCGGCTTTAGAAGAAAAAGCTAAAAATGACACCCAGGCTAGAATTTTTGGAAAAAAGAACAAAGGAATACAAAAGCTTTGGTGCCAGTTGCCATGGTTGCCAGAACACCATGTACCCCCCAACCCCACCCTCCCCAGTAAAACAGGCAAGTAGAATTAATCATGATTTATAGATGTAATCCAAGCAAGGAGCCATATCATGGGTGAAAAAAATGCTACCCAACTGATTTTTTCAGGGGTTTTTTATAATAAATCTTTTTGCAGTTTCTGTTTTTCAGTTTTTCAGGTCAGTTTTCTTTGATTCATCAGTTAGTTCAAAATACAATTATACATAAGTACATTACAGATAATTGCACAACAAATGTTATTATATTTGAAATACCTTAACAATTAATATAAAATAAAGAAGCAGACAAATGAAACAGAAACATGATCTATGCTGGCCAGTTGCCTCTATATCCAGTGTTGACTGTCTGACCGTTCAGTCATGTTCATTCAGTCATGTTTGTAAACTCTTGAGAGCTCTCTGTTGGACGATGATTTAGGCATGAAACAAAACAATATCTTACACATCACTTCTTGTTAAGTATTTTTCAGGGGCGTCATGACAATGACATCATAGTGAGTTCAAAGAAATCAATTTTCTTAAAAAAACTTTTTAGTACCTTTTGGTGATAAGTTACATTCAAATGCAGGTGCAGGCATCTTGTTTTGAAAACTACATGATATCACAGAGCTCATTATATTGACATAAGATTTTCTTCACAGGATTATGCTTCAGTGTTAAAATTGGAGTTCCACCACCACCAAGGTAATTCTGCTGATTTTATTGAATGTTAAGGTCAAAGCAACTAAATTTTTTTGTTTTAGAATACTAACTGTAAAATATGTTTGAATGTTTTCAATTTGAAGGGGTACAGGTAGGGAGGGGAACCATGTCTCAGAAAAATGGTATGTTGGTACAGTGCACCCCGTGGTATGGTCTTGTAACATATTTTTTGTACTTAGAGTTTCTTGTTAACCTGTATTGTAGATTTTGATTTATGTATAAAAGGGGGAACTTTCCAACTGGTCCTTATTAGAATAGTGACAACTTTCCAAAATCTCTTTTTACGCGGCAATGGTTGCCTAATAAAACATAATAATGGCTATAGTGTAATATATACGTATTGTGGGTTAGGTGCAAGTGCAAGAAATATAGCATAGCTAAGGGCATTCAAGACTTACAACCAAGAATGAGCCCCCATTTTGTCAATGCGTTTTGACAATAACTGTCATATGTAGCTTTTTGTGGCTGACCCATCCTACAACTGGCTATTTCCTTCGCAATGCCTCTTAAGTTTATATTCTGAGTTGTATCAGGCCAAGCTCTGCGTTTAGAACTGATTTTCAAAATTGTTTGTAAATATCTAATATGTTTATCATAAGATAATAAACAGTATTCAAAAGCTTCAAACTAAGTCCATTCTCCTAGGAGTAAAATCATCAAAATCCTTGAAAGGCTTAAAAACATTTCGAATAGGGATAGATCCTTACGAGCAGAACGAGCAGAAAATTTCTGCGACCACGCCCTTTAGGAAAAGAAGTACGCATGAGTCTAAGAGACTCGACAGTCTCTTTAAGCAATGACCACGATCTGCGACCACGCCCTTTAGATTAGCTGAAAATACATTTCAGAATATTTCTTGCAGTCGTTTTTTGCAATGGTTTAAAACGTTTTACTTTTGTCTGAAATTTAAACCACCACCTTTAGGTACTAATTTTTGTCAGATTCAGAGCATTAAGGGGGCGGCTGCTACGCTACTGAATTGCCCTTGTTTTAGCTTATTCTGATATATTTTTCCCATGCTGTTATATCTGCCTAATCCTATCTTCTGTTATCCCTTTCTATCTTCATTTGATAACGGGCTATGCTTGAAACGTCATTAGTATAAAATTTTATAAATTTGGTACATTCACTGATAAAGAGAAATTTTTTCTTTTTTTTAGTTTGGTAAATATATTTAAGGAATTGAAACAGGATATTGATGGATTTGAAATACCAGACCATGGTTATTTAGCTGGATGGGCACAACAAGGCAAGTATTGAAAAAACAAACTTTTGAATCATAGTAATATTTAAGTGCATGCCAAAAGGGGATTAATAAATTTCCAGATTCATATCCAGATTCATACTCATATTCACAAAGTCAGATTCATAACACTCTTTATGACGGAATAGGAACATGTCTCCAGTAAATGCTAAAATAGATGAATCACATAGAAACATCCCCGATAGAAAAGTCACATGTTTTAGTTGTTGTTTTTTATCTGAAATACCAAGGAGGCTGTTCGCTTTAGGGGAAAATTTTGTTTCTAATGCTAGAAGGGACATGCTATTTTATTCTGTGCGTCCTTTAATGGCGATTTGTTTCGGATAATTTGTGGAGACCGATCGCCGTTCCATCTAGCAGTTTTGGAATTCATCTACATCAACAATAAAAAGCCATTGTTATGTAGAAGACAGAAGGAGTTTGTTTTCACCTTGTTTCTCCATTGGTTATATTTTCAATAGGCAAGCGGCACTGATTGGGCAACCTCAACAGTCATGAACTCGCATTTCTGATTGGCCTATTTCGATCCACAACGGGGTATATATGTTTTCTAGGGTAAAGTTTTCGATATACGTTCTGACGTTTTATACTCTGAAGTGTATCAGACAAAAAGCTTTAGCATGTTTCAAAATGTTTCCTTCTTCAAAGCTATTTCTAAATCTATTTCTGGACCATTTATTTTTAACCTCCTCCATTTCGCCCCTCTAATTTTGGGGTCCTGGCTATGCTGCTAAATAATAGCAAAATGAGAGGTTTGGAAAATATGTTATTTTATGTTATAATACCATCTGAAAGTGCGCTGTAGAGTGAATAGTCGGCAAAAGATATTCCCTACATGTATAGATAAAGTCTACAATTTTCTCAAAGGGCATAGATTCCTTTCATTTTTTTGCTTCCTATCAGTTAACATGTTTTATATTGCTGTAGGTGTGCTTTTGTTAAACGCAGTCTTAACTGTTGTTGCACACAATGCGAATTCTCATCAAGGAAAGGTAAGCTTATAAAAATTATGTTTATAAGAAAAACATATGGACTCTAATACCTCTCGATTAACTCTTCTGTGGCCTTTGCTGTTGTCATTTGCTTGAACAGAATAGGGTGTCGATCTATGGTATTGATAGCTAAAAGAGAAGAAAAAATCAAGTTGTGAAAGCACTTTCCATTTCCTTTCCATTCCTCTAGTGGGTCTAAACACCGGTAAGAATTTTAGCAGCCAATAGCTGATCTGGATATGAGGCTTTATCCCAAGATCTGAATTCTGGAACGAACACCCTGGGATTCGCATTACAGGGGACATTATTTTCGAATAAGTTAAAATAGACGAAAAAATTTTTCCACCAGCTCGAATATTTTAGTTTAGAATTTACCTTGACAACTTTTAGCGTAAAGTATTTTTATTGCTTATATCCATTAGAATGCCACATCCTTTTGCCTTTTGCCTTTTGAATTTCGCTTTTTAACTTAAGTAGAAATTTTTCATTATTTTAAGGGGTGGGAAAGATTCACAGATGCTGTCATAAAAAAGATAAACAGCAATCTCAATGGCGTGGTTTTTCTCCTATGGGGAGCATATGCACAGAAAAAGGGAGCTTCAATTGATAAGGTATGTTTCTCTTCTCTTATCACTGTCGATGTTGTCTCATATTTTTTTGTGATGATGAAGTTTTATAAGGTGATATATTCTAGTCAGAACGTACTAAAAATAGATTACAACTGATGAGATATTGACAATGACAGATTTATGACAGATTTTAGTATTGCCTCGATATGACAATTGAAGATCATTTTTTGTCTATAAACGATATGATTGCTATATTTGTTACCTAGAGGTTTAATGTTACTAGAAAATAGCAACGATTTGACAGATTAAGTGTTAAGAAGAGCGAGTATTGGATTAGAAACATAAAATTAGTCAGTTCTACTTATTTTGTATGGTTATTTTTTCACATTTTAGAAACGACATTGTGTTCTCAAAGGGCCACATCCATCGCCACTGTCAGCACACAGAGGTTTTTTCGGCTGCAAGCACTTCTCCCAGGCCAATGAATATCTTAGCAAGAATGGAAAAAAAGAAATCGATTGGCGTTACTTGCCGAAAGATATATAAAACATCGGAACTTCACGGATACCCTTGAAAATAAGGGCTTTAAGTCTAAGTTACTTTCTGTTTAGTTTCGCTCGTATTTTATTAGTTTATCGTACTCTAGCGGATATGGTATCTTGTAGGTTCCTAGCAAAATCTAGCCATAAATATTCACCTCACTATTGTGTAAGTTTCTTTTATTTTATCTTGTTTAGAGAAAAATATTAAATCTCTATGTAAAGCAAATTGTTCATCTACTTCCATGTTAATCCAAGTTTAGAAGAAATCTTTCCCAAGTTTAGAGGAAATTTAGAATAATATAGTTGTTGGAGAGGAAAATTTCTTTCGCAAATAGGCCTGGAAATGTCGTGAAGTATACCTAATGTCCTAGCTAGATGTATTTTTTATGAACAACATATGATTAAGTCCAGAAATTTCGATCCTTCATCCTGGTTGCAGAGCAGAAAATTTTAAAACATTTTGTTGTATTTGCATTTTTTTAGTAAACTAGGCTTCTTTAGTATTCCATAGAATGATTTTTTAAAAAGCATGTACATACTCAGTCGTACATTACTATTGTTATAATTTGATATCAATATTTCGTTTTGTTGTGCTAGAATGCACTTGTTATGTTAGAAATGCAATATTGCCGATACTATGCAACTGTATTTTATGTTTATTGAATTAAAACACAGCACAAAAGCGGTATATCATGTCTTTTTGAAAAGTATGGTCTTGCTGCAGTTTAGATTTGCTCTCGAAGTAGAAGGAAGGCCTTATAGATTTAACAAAAAGTAGACTTTGGGAAAGTTTACCTAAAAAGTTGAATCCAGCGCTTCAAAAAACTGAATAAAGCATCCAATTGACGTGTTATGATTATTACAACCCAGGTCACCGATACGCCCACCTTAGGCCGTGAAAGTGACGTCTTTACTATGTTCCTGAACTGTTTGACTTGTGTTTAGTCGAAGCATTATAAAGAACATACTGCATCAATTAGGACATCATAGAGTTTGTAAAAATAAATTGATGCTAAAAAGGAAGAATTTTATTTCTTTTGATTTGAAAAAGTCATAATGAAAACCTTCTGGATCTGTTATATTTCTATCGTTTACAAATTCGCCAGCCAAAGTGAACATGTAAACTATATCATCATAAAACACAGACTTTCACACACTTTATTGTTAACAGCTTGTTTTGATAAAGCGTTTGTTGGTCACACTCACAGAAACACTTGTGATTTCTTGTGATCTTTACACTCAACGTGTAATGTCTTGAAAAATATAATTGTCTTTATATCAACAAGGACCGAGATACCGGGGCCCGGGGGCCTTGCCCCCCCCCCCCAAAAAAATAAGTAGCATAAGTAAAATACTTTTATTTTGTAAAATATGGCTGTTGTTACACTTATTAATCAGAGCTGCCCTCTCCCCCCAAGCAAAAAAAGGATCTCGTTCTTTGTATGTCAACAATCCTTATGTCAATAAAACTTTGAGACAGGCAGACTCCAACTAGGGCAGTGACTGCTCCAAGAGAAAGCTATATGACGTTAATGAACCCCAAACTCTAGTTCACTGAATTTCTCTACAAATTGATAAAAATCTACTTGATTTGGTAAGGCTACTACATTATTTTAAGATTTTCCTGGGGAAAGTAAAAAGGTTGTGGACAACTTTTCTTGGGCTCCACTCATCACCCTCCCACACTACAGTACCTTGTGCCCCACTGAAGAGTGTCCTGAGAAGGTTAACAAGGAAATAGGATTAACCTTTTAGAATCGTACTGGAATAAATAGCAAATTCTCGGGATGGGGTGTTCCTTAAATAACCTCGAATTACCCCTTCTGGTGATTGAGATTAAGGCCTATTTGACGATTAAAACTTATTGCTAACTATGTATGAGCTATGCAAGCATCCCATAATGCATTCTCAGACAGTCTGAAATCAATTTTGGTTAAACCGTAAAAGTTTACTGTCATTGTTTGGATCGTCGCCACGCTCGCAAAGGCCCATTGTTAGCAATGAGTCTTTAAGGCCTACTTGAAGTTCTTGATTTTGCAAAATTTGATAATATTGAAACAAAGGCTCCTTTTAGAAGTTAATTTAGGACACCATCAGTCTGGGTGCCAGTGCCTCGAAAAGCACGAAAGAAAAAAGTAAAGACCCCCAGCTTTCTGCTCTTTCCCGCTCTCTACAGTTAATCAGAAACTCGTAGTTTCACCAAACCAAAAATTTTGTTAAGGCAAAGAATTAATTCGTCAGGTCGTGGGCAAGCAAGGGATTGCAACTATTGCTGTTCATGTCTTCGATATTTCCTATATTTGAAAACAGCCATGCACTTAATTTCTTATCTGGAAATACGAACAGGTAATGTTGAGGCTGGTGGATATGCTTAACAAATAAATAGCTTTTTTCAAATAAACTGGACATTTAAGCCAATTCATCATTACTTATAATCTTTTATAATCGACGTATTTCTATAATCAAGTAAAAATGTGCTATGTCTAAAAAAAGAGTACGTTTGTTCTCAGGAGTCAAGAGCAAACAGTACATGACGAGTAAGTTGATAGAATTCATAGCTAAGTTCAGTTCATTTTCCATGCCTCTTTAAAAACAAAACCTCATAAGAAAATATCAGAATTGCTTCCTATTTATAAAGGTGGTAGGTGATAAAGGTAAAGGAAGTGATTAAACAATAGACGTTCCTTCCTACTAGGGGCATGTACCCCTCACTTTTTAAAGACAGAAGGAAGGTACCTAGTTGCAGCCCACGGAGGTGCCCTTTTTTCCTACATGTGCCGTCCCTTTTGAAATTATTTCTACGTCGATGGGTAAAACAAACAGAGCAGTTTTCGCGAGATCCCCGAAATCCGTAATTTCGATTACAGTTCGAAAATATCTTTGATCAAAAATATTAAACCAATCAAAGAGGAACAGTCCTTTGAGATTTTGCTTTTCTTGAGAAAGCACAAGTGTTTTGATGAAGAGGATTCGATTTTATTTGCTTTCCACTCCTGATGTTCTGCATTATTGATGACTCACCTTCTAATCATTTAAAATGAAAAACAGCTCATAAATAATTTAGCAATAAGATACAAAGCTAATGTTTGAGGAAAGGCGATCAACAAAGACATAGGTTTAACCTACGTGGATGCATAGCATTTTTCACAATGATGTGTGGGAGAGAAAACGATATTCACACTGGAACAAGGACCCAACCTTTCAATTAGAATAAGAGGGGACACAGGATATTGGAGTGGTCTCGTTATAAATTTCTTAAAAGTATTGAACAATGCAGGGTCATTTTCTTTGTCCCCTCCCTCTTGTATGGCCCGTGAGTAGTGATAAACGTGATCACTAAAGAGAGTTCTTTGAAGATACCACTGCCAGATGGTATCTCTTCAGATTTCAGGACATATGAACCTTTTCGACATTTTTTCACCCCTAAACTAGTTTTTGTTCATATCCTTATTGCTGAAAGCTTCCAATAACGTTCGTGGTGCGAGGCAGATTTGTGGAGCAAAATATATTTTTTCAAATTCTCCATTTTTTACACATTTTGGAATCGTCAAACTAGTTTGGATTTCTAGATAGCCACCACTCCCTGTTCCAGCAACTGATCTAAAAAAAAAGACTTCCGTTTGATTTCATGGTTGGAATTTGCGTTGGATACAGAAAATATTTGAGGGGTATAGAAGTTGGTGTGATTTTACCTGAAAAGGATGCAAACGATAAAGATTTTATCTGATAAGGATGCAAGCGAAGAATTAAACAGCCAAGATCAAAAGCTAAAATGTTTTTAGGTTATGGGCTGACTGACTATTAACTATTATTCTTCTTTAGTGTTCAGCTTTTGTATCAATTTGCTGCATAAATTTGACTCTATTTATTTCTTCCAACGATTTATACATGCTACAAAAATTATTCAAGATGGTTGATTTTCTTATCAGATTTACAATTCCACAAAACTGCAACAAACCACGTTAGAAAACCCCTGGGTTGTATGACAGAAAGTTTGCGCTTTGAGGCATAGAAGGTAAACTCTTAAAAAACGAAAATGTGCTATATCAAGGCAAAGCTAGCTTGTGGAGAGAAAATTAAAAAAAGAACACAATGAGTGAATGTGTTTTAAGGGCCCCTTGAAATTATTTAGGGGAGTATGTTAGAATCAGACAGAAGAGACTATCAATTTTTAGCTAGGCATCAGAGGGTATGTAGATAAACTTCAAAATTACAAATCACAGTGCAAAGATGTAAGCCAGGTGACGTTTGTTGTACAGGGGTTTGTGACCTACTACAAGAAACATTGTTTGATAAATGACAACTAAACTGATCATTTGAAATGATTGATGAACTAAACTTGAAGTTTATGTTCCCTTAACTTCATAACGGAAAATGCTAAGAAGGGGAACAAAAAAAATTAAATATGCAGAATAAATAATCCATTTTTGCTCTAGATTGTGGATATTTCGCCAAGTAATTGATTACTTTAAGGGGGCCTATTATAGGTTTGCGGCTTTGCGGCCTGTACCCTATTTTAACGCGTGGCTTCCGGATTTTGTTATGATTTTTTTACGGATTGCGGCTTCAGCAAAAGATGCGTCTTGCGTCTTTCGGTGTAAATTCGCAACGGTTAACGGCTTCTATGATGCGGTTGCGGCTTCTAGCTGCAACGAGTAGCGAGAGAGGCTTTGTTCCTTGTTGGCTCGAAGCCACCGTTTGGTCGTGCAGTTAGGTTCAATGGTCGATTTATTCAGTAGAGCTAAATTGTAAGTTGTAGTTCTGTTTTTCGAACTTTGACCCATTCATTACTAAAAGTTAAGCGTCTTCAAATGTTTCACGGTATGTGAAAAATACATGGGTACAGACAAATACGAAGATTGACACAATAGCTTGCTGTGAAACAAAGCTAGAAACTTGAGAAACAGCAACTTCTAGCAATGTATCCTTTTTTCTTATTAGCGAGTAATTGGCTTTTTGTGTCTCTGGCCGTTTTGCAACGCGGCCGCGTCTTTGCGCTTTTTTTCATTGCGGATTGCGGCCTTTTGCTGATTTTAGCACGGTTTGGCGGCTTTTGAACCCCCTATAATAGGCCCCCCTTTAAGGTCGGAAGTCGACGGGAGTTGTTTTGAGTGGAAGTAAACAGAAAGGTTCGTGACCAATTCAAAAGATTGATAAACAGGGGGCTTTGATAAACGGAAGTCGACCTTTTCTGAAGTGAATGCAGGAGTGTCACGCTATGAAACAAGCAAGCAAGGCTTTATGCGAAAGTTTTACAATGAATAAGAGAAAGAAAGAAATTAGTAACTTTACGGTATTAATAAAGGGGCTAAGCCCTCAAAGCACGCTAGAACTACATCACTGGGCCAGGCACCGCGGAGCAGGGGGGCTGGGGGGCTTTTTATACGGTTTTAGCCCCCCCACCACTTTTTTAGACCCCCCACTTTTCTCAACGCTCCGCGGTGCCTGCGGGCATAAGTATTGTTGAAATTAGTTGCAAGGACACATTAAGTTTCGAAATTTTAGTCGAACTTTTTGGAATGGATCAAAAGCATTGGAATACAGAGCGGGGGTCTTCCAAAATCTCGATAAAAGCTATCAGGGGGGCTGTACCGTAAATCCTCGAATAAGCCCCCGGGGGCTTATTTGCAAAATCCCCCAGCCCCCCTGCTCCGCGGTGCCTGATGGAGGCTTATTCGAGGGGAGGGGGCTTATTTGCAAAAACGATTTTTTTAGGTGGGGGCTTTCTTGAGGGGAGCTTATTCGAGCGTGGGGGCTTATTCGATGATTTACGGTGTATCTTCATAGTAGGTCATTTGCTGTACTGACCAGTGGCAGGAAAAAGCCTCAGCCTCGCATGGAGGACGGTCGCAGGGTAAACACGAACATCATTTACAGCATTGTTTATGTCAGGCCTCACCAGCAGTATGGTGGTTTCTCTCCAAGCTTGGTTAAAAGAATCAGATTTATCCTTTATCAATTAACTGTTTTGCTGGTACTTTTAACCAACAATGGCGGACGAGGTCGAGCAAGAAAACTTCACAGAGTCATCTGAACTTCTTTCAACTTCAAGTAAGAAATTCCGTGTTGTGTTTTAACTTTCAAATTTTTTACCTATGCTTCATTGAACAGGGCCACAACTTCAGATGACTAAAAACAACAGAAGGTTTGTAAAATTTCAGGGCCCGCAAAAGTCGAGGGTAATTTGTCATCGATTAATTTTAATCATCCTGCTGGTGAAATGCGTCGGTCTTTAGATTGAGGTCTTCCCGTGTCACTTTAAGCGTTTCATTATGTTTCATTCGAAAGTGTACAGTAACTAACGCTAAAACCATTGTTCTATTGCACGTTATCACCTTTGCCTACTATATATTGTCACCGTGAACAATTTTCGTAATCCGAACGCGAATCTTGACCTGATGGGAATAAAGGGGCTGAGAATTCGTTCTAAGCATTAATTTCGGTTCAATTTCGACACTTGCTTTAAATTTATGATGGATATCAACGTCTATAAACCTCCGTTTAAGGTGCACTTTAGCATCTCACACCTTATTTCACGTCTTATTATCTTTATTGCACGTAGCTGTATGTAGATCTTATATGAGATAAAACTGTTACATCCACCTGAACTGTACGTTAATTGATGTTTCTGTGCAGCTGTTTCTGTACGAGCTGTTCCATTTCCAATGCTGTAGAAATGACAGAATTAATAACCATAAGCAACCACTTCAGAGGTCATGATTCTTTTAAAGGGGAAAAATTTATGCATAACAGAAATGACAAAAGATGTTTTCTTTCAGGCGAGAAACCTGCTTGTGGCACATGTTTCTCCAATAGTTTTTCTTTTCTAATAATTACTATGATAGCTTGCCCATTTTTGGTGTCAAATTTCCTAGCCCCCACCAGGCCAAGCACTCTGCTTTGCGATATCTATTTTTTCTGTTATGAAATCCCTTACCTGTCTGGGACTTTTATTAAAGTCATTTTTCTGGAAATCTAATATGTGGGTCCTCTTGTTATTATTGTTTCAAATCGTACACGTGCCTACCACACATCCGTGCAGGTCTTTTGATATCCTGGTCAGTCAAGCAGTGAAAAGTTAATTTTTTGCTAGACTTATTAGTTTTAGGGCTTTGAATTGCAGATATGCTGTTAAAAAGGCAAAGAGCTCTTTGAGTTTTGAGGTCAGATCTTAGTGGGATATCAGTTCATTCAATAGGATTGGTCTAGATGAAAATTATTTTCCAAAAATGTACCATTTGTTATAGATGGTACTGATATGATGCTAAGGCATAGCTTTTAAACTCCAAAATATTTGAAATAGAAAATAATTGAAAACAAGATAATAGAGCTCTATTTAGTTCATGTTAACAGTTCTCCTACCTTGCTAAAATTGAGTAACTGTTTTTCTAACATGGAATCACCCCCAAAAACATTTTATTTGCAACCTTACTTCGTTCTTCAACAAAATAAATATAATTATAGTGGCTCTTATGAAGTATGCTTTCAATTTGGATCCATTTGAGTAAGAAAGAATATTCTTTAGTGGACATTAGGTGCAAGGATAGCTCAGTGAGTACAGTAGCAGACTACAGACCCAAGGGTCTGTGGTTTAGAGTTCCTGATATGAGTTCCTGAAACTTTCACTTCTATTATGTAGAGCTGCATGCTTGCTGTATTTCAAGGCATAGGAATCATGAGGTGGGGTCACATCAAGAGGAAGGGACACTGCCTGATAAGCAAACTACCAACTCTTAACTACCTCCTAATGCTATATAGTAACAAATACAAATGCAGATAAGCCAAAGGACAGAGTAGGCCGATGGTAAACAGCCCGTTCATGTGCATTTGAAAGACTTTTGGAGATAGGATCTTCAGTTAATGGTCCCAGATATTTGTTTTTTAAACATGAATTTCCATTAAATGTTTGAGTCAGTTTGAAAATACTTTCAACAGCAAATAGTAAATTATCTTTGTTATGCTTACAGTATGTACTACTGTGATTTCATTTTGAGTTTCAATGATAAATAGGAAGATTTTTTAACAATAAACATTAAATGGAATTTTATACATCACTGATCTATCAACAAAGCCAGAATATATGTCTTCTCAAGTATAGCATTTCAAGTGTTGGTGAAGCAGGGAAAGTTTTGGAAACCATCTAAGTGCAATTTAAGTTAGCAGTTTTATACATCACACTGATATATTACAAGTTTAGGTCTACTTGAATCTAGAGCTGCTTGTCCCATATCTGCTTCTTTTGTTTTCCTTCAAAGGCAGAAGAGAAATCATTAATATACCAGTAATCTGAAATTTATTTGAATTATGTAGATGTTTTCAATTAAGAAATTTGTGTTTTGTGTTTTGAAAGGAAAAAGGAGAATGTAAGATAGGGGCCAAAATACTAGACCTGTTTTCAGCATTCCTTTTAAGTACTTATTGTTAGAGAAATTGTAGAACTCAAATCAAACTTTAATCATCTGTATGTGTGTATCCATCAATAGAAATCCATAAAAACCTGTATACATGAAGGCTCTATTGCATTAACAGGAAGTACCTGTTGTCAGCTACAAAAGACAATTGTTTTATTAAATTTGTTGTAAATTTGTGCCTGCAGCAGGTGCAAAGAATGAAATAGCTGGGTGTGGCAACCTTATTTAACTTTTTGTCTAACGACAGGTAAAATGACACTGAAACTCAATGCTGCATTTATTAATTAAGTTTTAAAGTTGATGAGTGATAACAAAAAGAAATAGGTAGCAAAGTGAAGACTGATCTTTTTTATTGTACTGATGTAAGATATTTGATATATACAAAAAATACCTGGCTTGACTGACATATCACAGGTTAAAGAAAAGTAACACCCCCTTGCATAGATTTCTTTTATTGTCTAATTCACACCCTGTTAAATTTTCAATAGGTTGTTTAGCTGTTGGTAACGACCTTTATAATTGGCTATTTTAGTGATATTTTTTGTACCTTGATGAACCTAACGACCTAGCTCACGGACACGTGGTCTTTTTCAGATAATTATTCTGAGCACATATCTAGATAATATCGTATGAGAAGCAGCTGCTATTTCTAGTAATGTGATGGTCAGTTGCGATTGAAACTGCCTCAGAATGAGAGAAGTGGTTTCTCACATAAATTTAGTATAGCAGCATTGGGGGCCCCAGCCACTACGCTCTGGGGTTGGGGGACAAAACAAAATTATTAGGCCACGCCCTTTTAAGCACCAGAAAACGCCCTTTCACCAACAGGGAACGCCAATTTTACCTGAAGGGAACGCCCATGCTTAACTTTTGGTTATGTAAAGGCAGTTTGAAAATCATAGGATTTCATCACTAAAAGTACTTTGCCAAAATATTACCCCTCCACAAACATTTTCTCATTGAATTTAGACGAAATACAAAATTGATCCTGCCGAGACCTTGGGGGGGGACGTGTCTCCGCTGCTGTACAACTCCGCTACTGTCCCCTCGTGGCGCCGCTACTGTCCCCTCGTGGTGCCGCTACTGTACAGCACCGCGAGTACAGTAACCTTTTATTTGTTTTTGGATATCCCGTGACACTATAAAGATGATATCATATTGTATTGCAGGGTCTCCGACGAAGGGGGCCGTGGGGCCATGGTCCCCCCCCCCCACTTTCTGCAAAACAAAAGTGCCTTTTTCAAAATTTTCTGTTGTGGGTGTAAAGTTTTCACTTGGCCCCCCACTTTCCAACCTATGTCAGAGCCCATGTATTGCTTGCTACCTAGCTTCCCCAGGTAGTTTCAGGACTCTGAAAAGCTTTTTCTTATCGAGCACAAGCAGTGTCCTGGTCCTTCATCTCGATGTGACCACACCTCATAATTCCTACGCCTAAAATAACTAGCGACTCTCCTCACTCTGAGAAAGTTTTGCCATGCCAGGGACTCGAATCACGGACCCTTGTAGTCAGCAACCCTAATCACTGAGCCAACCTCGGAGCTTGCCACTGAGCCATCCTCGGCAGGGGCGGATCTAGAAAGTATTCTGACTATCGCACACAAGGGTGTGGTCGGAAATGTCATTGGTGACCACACCCATAGTTTTTAAAGATATTCGCCCCCTTCTCTTTTGAGCAGTCGACACTCACATTAAATTGGCTTTTATTAAGAACGTAGTCAAACCGTTGCCTATTCCTTATCTGAGTTTTCAATTGATACTACAGAATCATTTGCGTTGTTTCTTAGCCAAGCGTAAAGCAAGAAAAAACTTAAAATTCTTAAGCGTATTAACACGGTTTTCCTTTCATAATCCAGCAAAAATTCGAGTCGCCTCTCTCGATTTGTTTATGGTACGCGATGACAAACCAGGCCACGCGAAAAAATTAATACCATCATTGCAATGAATTTTCAGAACTAACCAAATAGAACAAATTTACACAAGTATTCATAAAAACCTGCATTAATAACTAATATTATTTAATAGATAAACCAAATCAGAGTGTTAACATGTATTTTACTCCGAAGAAACCCCTTACCCGGAAAAGTAAAGTAAAGATTACCCGGAAATATCTAAAAGCTGATAAGGAACTGAAAATCCACATTGAAAAGATTCACTTTGAAAGTTTTGTCCAAATAAAAATTTCACTATGCCAACGTCCTGGACATTATTTCTTCGCCAGAGCCAAATCGCAGGTATCGACATTAGTAGGCCCTCGATCCATGGAGGAGTAGCCTGCGTGCAGACTCGGAAATTTAAAAGAGTAGAGTCTGCGCAACAGAGCCGCTTATCTTGTTCGCTGACATCAACACTGCTCGAAGGCGCCACTTTGAAAACTGAAAAAAAAATTGAAATTCCCCCAACCAATCACATTCGGTTCCTTGATTTTGAGGAACCTGTAAACAAGAAAAGCGGCTCGGCTCGCAGACTCTACTTTTTCTCCTATTTTCAATTTTGTCAACATAGTCTACACGCAGGCTATGGATGAGGTAATGAATATCGAAACTTAAAAACATCCAGTGTCGAATTTCTAACATTTTGTTTCATTATAATTATGTCACGTGATCAAAATGAGTGCACAGCTTTCGCCCGGTAGAGTTAATTTGCACGTCGTTTTAACATGATATTTTCAACTTGTCATCAAATTATCAAGTATGCTATATTATTAACATGCCTGGAGCTAATTGTACGTTTCATGAATGTGGAGTGACAAGAAGAGAAGTTTTTTGTCGATAGCAATATTTACAGTTCCAAACCGGGCAGCAGTTTTATTCGAAACGGCGAAAGAATACCTTGGATGTGTAGTCAAAGTGATTATCTGCGAAAGACAATCTGTCTCTGCTTGAGTAAAGATTTTCTCAATTTCATTTTTAGCTGTTATCAAACCTCCTCTACTCTTGGTTTTATCAGTCTTTGGGACACCGGCCTTTCTCCAGCAACCCAATTATAGTCTAGTTAATGTCATTTGAGCTGTTTCTTGCTTTTTCAAAAACTCGTGTTCAATCTAGCCAGATAAGTATTGTAGGCAATCGAAATTTTTATCGCTCATCGGCAATGGCCTTTCTAGCGCCACGCTTTTGGTCCAGTGGTGGCGCCAGCTGCTGCAGAGTGGGAGGGTAATGGGTGTTACCCGTGAAACCACGCCCTATTGGCCTCGTTTCAGTGATTTGTATAAGGTCAAATTTCCTTAGACTTAGACGCTTTGCCATTTTGTCAACATCATAAGAACTATAAAAGAAAGGGTGAAGATTGAGAGCTGGAAAATGACGTAATAGGCGCGTGAAAAATAATCACGAGGATCGTACGAGAAAATGCAATGAAATTAAATCAGCATGAGAAGTTTAGAATAGCCTAAATCGGGTCATTACAATTTTGAAGTCACGAAAACATGTAAGATGTTTAAAAATCACGAAAGGAATAGCTGAAGGAAATAGCGTGTGTTAACAATGATAAAATGAAATATTAGAGTTTCAAACATAATAACTCTTTAGAATGATTAAATGATTATAATTATAAGCATGACATTTTTTTGACTTGATTTCATTTGAAGAAACACCAAGTGCAGACTCCAACTCCTTGTATGCCTTTTCTCTTTTATCTCTCATGTGGTAGCTTTTATTGTAGACGTTCCAGGGGCAAGGCTTTTCTTCAAATATTTCAATTAGTGTTGTTACTTCGTCTGTACTCCACTTTTTTGCCTTTCTCTCTTTGTTTTTAACTCTACCTTTATGCTCCCTTTTTTCATCTTCATTGTCCGTATTTTCTTCTTGGCAGTCTTCCCCGATTTTGTTTCGCTTTGATTGGTGGAGAGTTATCCTCAAATACAAAACTTTTTCTCTTTGAACCTTTTGACAGCTGCCCCGCTTGTCTCTCATTTACTGAGGCCTTCTTCTTTATCTTTAATAATCTCCTTATCTCCTCGTTATCAAACTCATCCATGCTGTCGTAAGAACAGTCTTCATTTTCTTCTTCGTCTGACCAAAGCTGACTCGTTTCAAAAAGCCGATTTTTCTGTGGATGTTTGGTCTCCATCTTTCGTAAATTGCATTCGCAGCTTGCAGACCAAAACAAATCAAAGTGGCGGGCTCTGCTTTTCTGCTTGCGCGAACGTGATTATGTTGGACAGGGTGGCCAAAACATCCCAACATCGTCCAACATCATCCAACATTTTTTATCAGAGTCAAACTTCGTCCAACATCATCCAACATCGCCCAACATGGGTGGCCAAACCGGCCCAACATTTATACCCAACATTGTTGGACAAAATGTTGCGCTGGTTTGGCCGGGGCTTTAGACACAAACGCCTATTCAAAGCAGTACAAACCTTGAAAGAGTTTTCTCTACGAATGGTTGCCCAGGCATGCCATCTTTTAGCGCTTACTTATTGGCTCCTGATACTTCTTGGCACTTGTTCGTAAAAACCTTTATTTTAAAAGCAGTTTATTATTACGTCTATTTCAATAATTGAGTTTTTTTCGTCCACAGATGAGTCTAAGGTTCAGTCATTTGAATTCGATCTGAGTGCACCAAGGGAAGGACTGTCTATGGTGACTGCGACCTTCTTTGTGATTGGTAACATTCTAGGCGCTGGCCTTGTAGCGATACCTTATGGAGCGAAACTAGCTGGCTGGTTGAGCATCCCATTTTTTGTCTTCATCCCCATAATCACTTGCTGTTGTGGTGTTTTATTGGCCAAATCCGTGAGCATGACAGTAGCAAATGACCGAAGAGACGTGTCCAGAGAGCCTTATCCACAGTTAGCCAAAGAAGCCGTGGGGAACAAAACGCGAAAGTTTGTCGTTGTAACTTTGTACTGTGGACAAATAATGTCCTGTCTTGTTTTCCTGCTACTTGCTGGAGAAATCCTGTCCAAATTAATACCGTTCCATTTTGGTGGTATTTCAAGTCACAACGAATTGCGTGTTTGGATATCGATCACCGTTGGCTTCATCATACCGTTTAACTTGCTTGGCTCTCCTAAGGATTTCTGGGGTATAGCGTTAGTTGCGACTGTCACTAGTGTTGTCACTGCCATTTTTATCTGTGCATGCCTTGGCATGGTGCATTACAATAATGTCTTACAAGCGCATATCCCTCCACTGGACATTGAAAATGTTTTTGCCTCCTTCGGCATTATTGTGTTTGCTTTCAGTGGCGTCGGCATCTTTCCAACGGTGCAGGGTGATATGAAGGAGCCGGATAAGTTCCCGAAAGTGGTCGTAATCGGTTTCACGACGCTGTCCGTTGTCTACATCTCAGTGGCCTTGACGGCATTCTTTGTTCTTGGCAACTTCATCGGAGAAGACCTACTGACGACCCTTTCAAGCCTCTCAATTTACCACAAAATCGTATCATACAAAGCGTTTGTCACAATTTCACAAGTGTTGATTCTTGGTCATGTGCTCTCTGCCTTCGTTTTACAGATGAACCCTGTCTACCAGCTGGTAGAGGTGTTCTTCAAAACTCCGAATGGTAAGTTTTTAAGCTAGTAAAATCATATACAGAGCGTAATCATTGGCTGTGAATTTATAAAGTTTTAAAGCAGTAGTGTGACCCCTAGTTTCAAATCTGAAATATTTTTTTAGTTAAGGTCAGATACTCACTGAAACCGGCCCATCTCAGTGGAAATTTTGCGATACATTGTTGTCATGCAGTGCATGAAATACGCATTTCATGTATTTTATACCAAGCACCGCGGAGCATATTACAGATGGAGGGGGCTAGCATGTTTTGAGGGGGGGGGCTAAACATGCTAAAAACCAAGAGCAAGACAATTTTTCTATGGTTTTATGTACATTTTTGAAATTATAGGGGGGGGGCTAAAGCTCCCTCAGTCCCCCTCGCTTCCGCGTTCCCTGTCTTATACTGCGTGTACAGACAAGATTATTGGTACAATCATTTCATATTTTACTCTGTAATTGTGCCATTAGAAAACGATTGCTCAGAACCATTAATCATTATTTTATACGCTTTCCATATAAATTCTTTATGGTGCGATTTTCATTTCAGAATTCTGCTGGCAAAGATGTGTCATCCGAATTTCTCTAATCATCGTAATGTGGGTTTTGGCCATAGTGATACCAAATTTTGGACCTGCGCTGTCCCTAGTTGGTGGTACTTTTAACGGATTGCTGTCAATCGTTTTCCCTCTCTGGTTCTATGTCAGTTTACAGCGCGAGTATCACCCATTAATGAAAGTCGGATATGCTCTTATTTTTCTCGTAGCATTAGTGAGTATATTGGGGAATGCATTTGTGGAATTGAAAAACCTAGTAAAAGTTATGGAGGGTAAATACAAAAATGTCTGAATATTATTGTTTTAATTTATTTGTTGCATTAAAATTGATTTCTTATTTGTTTGCGCTACAGTCGATATAATTCTGTTGACTTTTCCACGTAGTCGATAAGCGTTTTGTCCTTTCAAAAAGCTGTTGAAAATCTCAATACGTAGACATGCATGTTTTATATTGAAAGTCTAGAATGGTGCTATACCTTGCAATATCTGAAATATGTCAGTCGTAGTCGATTTGTAGGCAAACCAATAAGGAATGAATCATAAACTCTAAGTAGCAGGGATACTGGAGCCATATTTTTGATTGGGCGGGGAGGGGGCTCTTGGCAAATTGTAGTTTCCCCCATAATATTGATGCCACTACCTGAATATCATAGTTCACCAAAAAATAAAGGAGCTCTAGCCCCCCAGCCCCCCATGCTCCGGCGTGCCTGAGTAGATAGTAAACATGTCTAGATTGTTCTTATCAGCCAGGATGAAATTATCTTCACTGGCTGATGGAATCATGAAAATCTGTATTATTTAAGATTTATTTTATAACCATTATAGTGCTTTAGTTAATGCTTCGTGTATAATTTCCAATACATTGGATCTAATCTATGTAACAATTTCTTGTAGAATTATTTTAGATCTTAATAAAATCACTGACAACAATGCTTTTTAGCTGCACAGAATTACCCTTACGTTTTGCTAATGAGCGGTCAATATTCCATTTCTGGAGTTGTAAGAACTATTTTGTTAAGGCTTTCGTAGGTTTAGCTGTATCTGATTTTATGGTGGCAAGTAGCAGCTTAATCAATAGATCGATGAAGATATATGATTAATTTTTGCTCATATGACAAACATGAAGTGATGGGAACCGTTTTCGTCGTATCGTCGAATGTCGTAGCATCGCTATGTCGTAGTATCGCATTGTTGTAGTATCGCCTTGTCGTAGTATCGCCTGCAATTATTCGAACTTCCAAGGGAAGCTATCTTTTGTTCGAATCTGCGCAGGTTCGAATTGTCAAAACGTAGATTACTGCGTGTAGATAAGAACCTAAACAGAAAATCATGAAGGGAAATTATGCTTGCCAATTCTTGCATACATGCAGGCAGCCTTATTACCGGGCATTTGTGGTATTTGTAATACTAACTGGCGCCATAGATTCCAATTCTTATAAGCATCATTGTTTTTTAATCTGTTGGCAGCATATTCATGCCTATCAAGGACAGTGATCACACCAAACTTTTCTTCAACTGACATATACTGCTTTAGAATCATTTGCAATGTGATTCGTTCTATTTATGTTAAATACAATCATACATACTCTGTCTTATATACATTGTACTTCTTTTAGAATATTAGAATATCTTTCCATTATCATTTTTGCGAGGCCTAGTAATGTTTCCAGAAACTGATAACTATTATTGGACAAGTGCTTCTTTTTTTCGTGCATCTACTACTGTTATGGGCAATTTTGTTAACGTCTTAAATAATCTTTATCCACGATAGAGAGCTAGAAGATATTACCAAATTGAATATACTGATAAAGGAGATCTGATAGAACATATGTTCATAAAGATAACTACTAAACAGTGTTTGTAAAGTGCTCAATGCCCTTTTGTCAAAGATCTAGAGCACATTTGTCAGATGATCGCTTTAAGCGTTCTGAACAAATTGTAATTTACTCAGAATCTTTCCTGTTTCAGTATCTCTGTGGATTTCAGGAAGGCTACAATACACAACAGGCTCTTGTAAGATTTCTCGAGAAATGCAAATCAGTTTTGGACAAAAAAGGATTTGCAGGAGCAATCTTGATGGACCTCTCTAAGGCGTTTGATTGCTTAAATCATGAACTACTAATTGCCAAATTATCTGCTTACGGCTTAGCCGATCAGCTCTAAAATTGATTCATAGTTACTTAAATGAAAGGCAACAAAGAGTGAAGGTTAACGGTTCATTCAGCACCTCGAAACGGACTTCCTTAGGTGTTCCCCAAGGTTCAGGTTTGGGACCCCTGCTCTTCAACATATATATTAATGATTTTTTCTACCTAGTGAAAGATACTGAGACTTGCAACTACGCAGATGACACTACTATCTTTGCGTGTGGTTCAGATCTGGGTCCAATCTTAGAATCACTTGAAAGGGATGCCGCTTTACTATCACTCTGGTTTGAAAATAACTATATGAAGATGAATGAGGATAAAAGCCATTTGCTTGTCTTCGGGAATAAAGATGATGAGGCTACTGTAAATATTTCTGGATCTTTGATAGAGAAAGTGACGAAAAGAAACTTTTAGGAGTGACACTCGACAAAAAACTAAATTTCAAAACTCACGTTAATAATCTTTGTAAGAGAGCATGCCAAAAGTTGCATGCACTGGCACGAGTATCAAGATATATGGAAACGCCACAATTAGAATTAACAATGACCTCCTTTGTAATGTCGCATTTCAGTTATTGTCCACTTGTGTAGATGTTTCATGATAGGAAATCGAAAAACAAGATCAGCAAGATACATGAAAAAGCCCTGAGAATCATACACAAAGATAGTACTTCCAATTTTGAGAAACTTTTAATTAAAAGTAACTCAGGATCTGTTGACCAGAAGAAATTACAGCTGCTCCTGACTGAGATTTATAAAACCGTAAACAACTTGAATTCGTCTTTTATGGTGGAAGTATTTGTTACTAAAGATGTACTATATGGCCTACGTAGCGGAAATAATCTTGTTTTGCCGAGGGCTGGGACGAATTTATATGGTATTGATACTATCAGATTTATTGGCAAAAAATTATGGCAGACTTTGCCCAAAGAAATCAAAGAGTCCCGATCATTATAAATATTTAAAAGAAATATCAAGTCCATCAAACTTATAGGAAATATTAAGTCCATGGACTGCCGCTGCAAATTGTGCAAAGATTTTGTTCCGAATCTAGGTTTTTTGTAATTAGTATACCTTTTTGTAAATTGTATAGCTTGCCTTAATAAGGTAAACGCTATTTTCTCTGGTAACTTCAAATAAATTGTTTATTATTTATTTATTTTATATAAGCGTCAACAATGTTCTGCACTCGCAACAGCTCGACACGTGTGGTTAGATATCTTATTCTACTGGTGAGCTTTCGAAATATAGGCCAATGGACAGAAACTAGATCTAAAGACATAAGAATATATTCTTCAAATAAGGAATTTAGTCTCTAGAAAGAATAAAATAAGAGGATTTTATGCTAAAACTAGATTGAATCTTCAGACGGATTCAATAATGTAAGTGAAAATGGTTGTTGATTTTCATCAAAGGTAATACTTATAGGCGCGAAATAAGGTAGCATTTCTTCAACAGCAATCGCAGTACATAGGTTATTTTTCTGTTGACTTTTTGTAGTCTCTTTACGTTTAAGCAGTGGCGGCTCTTGCTAATGGACGTCTGGGGCGATGCCCCCTCAAAAAGATTCAAAGGAAATCTATGATATTCATATTCAATTTTGAAGATAGTCTTACTGTGGTTAATTATATAAGTTTGTATCTCTTCTAGAAAAAGCTCTTTGCTATCACGTCTCGTCCTTAGCCTCGCTTCTGGCCCGCTAGTGCCTTGAGCGATGATGTCATTTTACGGGCAAAGTTTTTTTTCCCTAGCCGACATGCGCATAAGCTAATTTTCGACCTCGAGCATTGCGAAACGCGGCCTGTGATCGGCTTATTTGGAGGAATTCGGGGCAAGAAAAATTTTGCCCATAAAATGACATCATCGCTAAACAACAACCACACCTATATATGCTTCTTCTTTTGCGCTCCATGACGATCAACATCGAACCATGAATACAGTGAATAATTTGCAAACTCGACCTTTCTATCGATTATCGCAATATTGATGGTCTGCCCTCCCAACTGTGAAAGTCACGAGCCGCCACTGCGTTTAAGGCACGTGTTTTTAGAAAACAAAAATGCTTAAGAAGTTATTCAAATGCACACAGCAAGTGGCTTATATAAGTTTGTTTCACAAAGCAACAAATTGAAAGGGGACGTGGTTTCTAGTTATAACTAAGGTAGCTAGACAAAAATTGAAATTGTTATGGATACCGTTCTTCATCGCTGAGTCAACCATGGGCTTGTAAAGACTAATGAAAATTACCGCCTTGCTTATGATTCTCATAAATTGAATTTTTAACTCATAAAACAAAATGAAATGTATGTTAAAAAGATAGCGTGATGAGGTATAGTATCGGTGCACAAGCAGATTCCTCTCAAGAAAAAATATCGAAGAAAGGAAAATCTGGAGGCTTAGGAGTTTTTAACAGGTTTAACAGGTTGAAACCTATATAGTCTGGTCGAATTGTGGCTTGACCTAGAGTTAAATGCTACATTAGCAAACTTTATGCCATTTGAATCGAGATTTAATGGAGAAAAATATATTGAGAGAATCATACTGAGGTCTTTGGGCAAAAAATATTATAACCGCTAGTTTGCAATGGGTTTTTGTCAACAATGTGTGTGACTTTTGATATTAATCTACGAAACCTTCGTTTTAAAAGACATTATATACCTTAAACTGCATATTGTAAAAATGATTCTTCTGTATTTTAAGTAAGTTCAGCAAAATGACTGACCAAGATTTTCGAGTTATAGATTCATTTTGGACAAAAATCATCGGCTCTTGTTTTTCACAATACTCTCACCACTTTGTCGTTTCCAGTAGAGTTTATTCTAAATGAATTATGTTGGATGAGAGGGTTCATGGAGTTTTTGCAAACATGATGTTTCGAACGATTGTGGGCATAAATTCGAGAATTTATTTGTTTACGGTTAAAGAAACAAAAAAATATTTTACTTTCCCGGCTCTCGTCGTTATCATACTTACATCTTATAACCCTTATCATTTACATAAATAGAATGAGGTCATTTGTATAAGCAATGAATATCAGGCAAGTAAACAGTTTAAAACAACTACAAGTAGCGAAACAATTCCCTCTCTAGCAGGGCTACTGATTAATACTAGGGGGGCAGGGTCAGTTTTGATTACAATTTTACGAAGCCAACCTTTTCTGTAGCAATTTTTTTGCTATTCCGTAGCTCAGGAACTGGATAAAATTCCAGCTCAACAGTTTTTTATATTTTGCCAAAACTATTTGAAAAATTCAGCCTGCAGTTTCATATCTTATATGCGTGCAACTGTAGCAATTTTAAGAAGCGAATATTATTTTAACCGCTTACCTTAAGATTTTCAGTTTCTTCGCCCTGAAGCAATGTTGTGTGGAAATACATCTGTGGAAATACAGAGTTAGATTTAGTTAACGAGGTACCTGAAAAGAATCAACAATGCTCCAAACTAGGTTTCTCTAATGTTTACTTCTATAGCCAAAACCAAAATAGGTATCAAAGAAAGAAAAGAAAAATTCGGTGTACTTTAATCTAAAGTTAGAAAGTAAAGCAAATTATGTTCTCTAGACTACAATCCTGGACAAAAATGTTGAGACAAAATGCAATTTTTCTAATTTTTTTCTTTACATCGCCCCTGTAAATTCGAACCCCCCCTTTTCCCCCTTCCCCCCTTGGGTTGGATCGTCTTTTACTTCTGTAGTAAAATATTGTCCTATTCACATCCCAAATTGTAAGACTCCAACTCATAACAATATCTAAAACATCTAGCATAATAAAGCGAGGTTTCCATATGATCGCTGAGGATCGCTACGGATCGCTGAAGTTTTGTAACGATCATATGAAAACCGCAGTTAAAATGTCAGCGATCCTCAGCGATCCTCAGCGATCCTCAGCGATTTTGAGCGATCCTTAGCAATCCTCAGCGATCATATGGAAACTAGGCTTAATAATAGCAAATTTTATGTTTTTGAAACCTTATAGAAATACAAATTCAATTTTGTAGGCCGAGCGATTTAAAAAATCCTCAGAACTAAAGGACATTAGTTCATTACTCTTCATGTTAAAAAATGAAATTGAATAAGTTAGGTTGCAGGAAACATTTTTTAGGAACTAGACATTTAGACAGGATGTATAGATAAATGTGAAGCAAGAATGCATAGAAAGTTATTTTTTCAAAGAGGTCCTATAAAACAGTTTCAAAGACCAAAGATCAAGAGACCAAAGATCATTATTTATCATTTCAGTTTGATCTTATTGTTTGTTGTGATGTGGTGGGCTTTTGCTTTATTCTACCGACGATGTTTTTCATTTTAATATCCCACACATTTAAGGCTGTACTCTCTGCGAAGAGACATATTTCTACTCCGTTGAAACATCATTGACATAAATGTTAAAAAACAAAGCTCCTAAAACTGAACCTTGAGGTAATCCAAAGTTGTCTCTTTCCAATAGCTTAACTTTATGTGATCCATTTTCTCTAACCCTTTGGATTTCATCAAACCGACAGCTTTTTAAAGGTTTAACTGTTTTTTTGCCAAGAAGTTATCTGACTAAAGACAGCCAGATAATTTTTGGTGTGGTGCATTACTGCATGAAGATTTGCTACGAGGAAAAAGTTTAACTGGCTTTGTCTATTGCATAGTCATATGAAATAACTTATTAATAAATATGAAATAGCAAGTAAATAAATTTGGCAAGGAAAAAATGCAAAATATTCAAAAATAATGAAACACTATTAGCATATGCACCAAATTAAGCGTATTGAATTACAAGATCAAGATGTCTGAAGCTACTTTTGAATTTGCAAAGGAACAAGTAAATCTGATTCAACATAATGATTTCTTTCAGACATGAATTTTGTCTTACTATGTAAAGAAAGTGGTAAGCTATAAATCTGGTGTGATGATACGCCAAAGAAAAGAATCAAAATATTTGCGAAAAAGGTTATCTAGAAATCTGACTCTATATAAGCTAGTAAATTTGCTTAGTTGTTCAGAGGCTTTGCTCAGACTATCAAAAACGTTTTGTTAACGGGTTTCTCGTAAACAAATTGCCCCTCGCAAAGCTCCCCCCCCCCTTGAATACGGCCCACTCTAAAGCTACAAATTGCTAATAAGTCCCCCTCGAATTTTAGCGCTCGAAGTTTATAAAACACTTGAAAACCTTAATCCTGTTTTCATGAAAGACTATTTTGTACCCAAAACAACAGGTCATAAACTTCGACTCAAAAGCCCCCTTGACATTCCAAAAGCCAGAACTACCAATAATGGTATCAGATCATTAAGTTTTCAAGGGCCTAAAATCTGAAATTCACTCCTGGAATCAATAAAGACAGCACGAAATATTAGACAATTTAAGAATTTGATTAAAACTTGGTTTCTTGAAAACAAGTGCGCATGCTCGTTTTGCAGTAAATGAACTGTCTTATGCAATCCTTGAAATCGCTTCATGTTAGTCATAATTAGTGTATAATCAATATTGTAAAAACTAACATCAAATAATATACAATCTATGTCTTTTTAATGTCTACTTTAATTTCATAAGCCTCTTGCTCGTATAAGCCCCCCTCCTCTCGAACAACCCCCATCCAAAAATATTAAATACAAGTAAGCCCTCAGGGGGGGCTAATTCAAGGATTTACGGTATCTGCTGATTAAAGCATGCGGTCAAGATGATTATGGTACGATGGAGCTGTCTTTTAAGGACGATATCAGTTTTGGCTTTGCTGATTATCTCAATAGATGCCAATATATTCGTGTAGATGCAGGTGACATTAGAAGCACAATTTGCACATACACAATGCACATACACAAACTGAATTGTTTCTAAGATGGCTTTGAAAAAGCAAACATTTTGAGTCAAACTAAAGATTTTGGTCCAACACTCTTCAGAGTATAAAACGTCTGAACATAGATCAAAACACTGCGCTGGGAATTATATCTACCAAGTTGTGCATCGAAATAGGCCAATCAGAAACACGAGCACATGACTGATGAGGTTGCCCAATCAGTGCAGCTTGCCTATTGAAAAAGTTACCAATAGAGCCCCAAGGTGAAAACAAAAAAAGTTGACTGACATCGAATTTTTATCGTTCGATTGTACTTGTGATCTTTGCAAGAAATACTTATGCAACATCGGTTATATTTGATTTACATTATTTGATTCCTCTTTTGCTTTTTTCAATGGATACTGCCTATCTCTTATCCCATTGCGATTGATGGCATACAAAATAGAGTTCCTTTCCCCGATTTTCTGCAGGAGGAATTCTTTAGATATTCTATCTGTCCAGCTCATCTTCAAATGCCTTTTCCTGGAACTGCATCTCTTGTCCTTTGCATATCTCAATTGCCAAATGTCTATGTCTCTGCTTTATAATGGCCATTCTTTCATCATACCCAGACCAGACTTTGATTCCGTGGTTTTCAGTGCTCTCATTCTTATGAAAGTATTCTCTGCAATCGCTATCTGTGTGTTTATGTCTTCGTACATCTGCTATCCTTGCTCAGTATGCTGACTAGAGTATTTGAATACCTTCTTTGCGTAGATCTGGATGTCTATATTCCAACACTCCTTCCCAATCTCTGTAATATTTGTTCTTATTATATTTACCTATATCCTTTATGCTTCTGCAATGGGCACTGAGGGATGCAAGAGACTTCGAAAGCATTCGGAAGCTTCCGAAGCAGACCTGACTTCTTCGTCTCACATACTTTTTTACCATATATTATGGGTAGATGTCAAGTAGCAATGAGAAAAGCGGGTGTCCCTGGTTCATTCCAATGCCGGGTTCTGTTCAACCCTCGGTGCTTGATGGGTTTGTGTATTGTGTTGAGCACATCAAAATGGCTTTAGGTATCATCCTGTCAGACCAAAACGAAAAGGCTAGTCATTTTTACCCATCAAGCCAGCATGAAACGCTCCATACAGCACTATGCACCTCATCCTCGTCTGTTAAACGATGATTTTCAAGGTAACAACATAAAAAATCACTAATTAAATGCTTATTGTCTATTAAAACTTAAATCTAGCCTTCCAGAAAAAACCGAAAAAAAAGAAGGAAATAGAGATAGATCTATGAGATAATAACTCCATCAATGAGATGTTCCACCATAGGGCTACAAACAACTCAATATGTTACTCAGGAAGCTACATTGAAAAATCGACAATTTTTATCGCGGTTAATTTTGTCATTAAAAGTATGTTCATCATGGCTCTATTAAAATTGTTGTTATTAGAATAAAACTATACTTGCTGTCATAAAAAATACTGCTGCTTAAAAGGAAAGTCAGCTTCGTCGAAGAAATGCCATGATTGTACGAATGCAAAACTTCTAGTGCGACCTTCTTTGCAAAACAACGAAACTATGTTTTGATTAACCACAGCAACTTAAAGATTTATATCTATAACATTTGCTCTTAAACAAACTCGCAGTCATTATGTTATTTTGACGCCATATGTTTGTTTGGATAACATTTTGATATATTTTGACATTTTTAAATAAGCTTCAAATTCTCTTTTGAATAGCAAAAAAATCAAGCTAAGAGAGCGTTTTCTGACTATCAAAGACCTTGGGAGATCTATTTTTCCCCATTTCATTGCTTTTAACTAGGAATTTTCAGATAATCAAAAACCACCGTGTTGAACATCAGTTTAATCAAGAAACATTTCCAGCAGCAACTCTTAAAATGAAACAGGACCTCTAACTAAGTATAATTGAGTGCACACTGTTTACATAAATTCCCAAGAAATTAAATTTAAACGTTTGGTCCTTCCAATAAAAATTAAGATTCATCTTAAAATTTATTTCTCAATACTTTATTTTCTATCAATTTTCTGAAAAGTCATGCCACGGTCAGCCTACCCGACGAACGTCAGTTCTCAGTTGTTTGTTTTTGTGATAAGACCGGTTTAATGCTCTCCCTTTCAAGTACACCACACTATTTGTACGAAAGAAACGCAACTGCTCATGATTCAATAGTAATAAAATACACTAACCGTAACAACTCAGGCCACGTGTAACTAAACAAAAATCTCATACAACCAAGAAAGCAATGCCTTCCGAGTGGCGTTAGCACTTTAACATTTGGCGCTCTTTCACAAAGAACGCTAGTCCCAGTCCTTTGCTTTCAACTTTTTTGGGAGCGAGGCTAGAAGTTTCTGTTGCTGTCCTTTTTAATTACAATCCCGGACAAAAATGTTGAGACAAAATGCAATTTTTGCAACTTTCTACTTTACCTTGCCCCTGTAAATTCGAATCCCCCTTCCCCCCCCCGAAGCAATGTTGGATTTGTAGCTCTATCATTTCTCCTTCAAAATAATGGCCGGCTGGGGGGCTGGACCCCCCAAAATTGTTAAACTGTAGTATGTTTCCTTTAAAACGGTGTACTGAATGAGAAGGAAAACAATGGACAGTCCCCCCCCCCTCATAATGATTTTCATTCCAACGGCACTGTAGCTACCTAGATAGCCTGTCATAATTTAGATTAGAGCAACATATAAGGAACGAAGGTTAGACTAATTACGCAAAACTTAATGGTTGCGTTTACACTATAGAAAAATTACCTACAGAAACGTCCCGTACAAAAATAGTGTCTAAAAAACATGATTATTCACCAAGAAAGTTAAAATATTCTCCCCTAGACCCCCCCACCCCACCATGTCAATGCTGTGGCTGTTGGAATGCTTTTAGATATGGCTACAACTCTAACATTAATTTTGGGGATATGAGAACATTCTGTTACAGTTGTTTTCTTGCATTTTAAACATTAAAGTTTATCTCAACAATTTGCAAATGTTGTAGGCTATTCAAACCAGTTTGTTGAGTAGCATAGCTCTAACAAGTGCATTGTTAATCAACTACAATCACATCGTCCCTTGAAACTGAATTTGTCAGTTTTAAGCGTAATTTAATTCATATCCAAAACAGGTGGTCTCCTTGCCTTTCAATGTGGAAACATGTGAAGTGGCTCGCAAGGGACATCTACCTGACACCCCGGTAGCATTATACGGGGCAATTCCTCAAGTCACAAAACAAAACACCTATTATCACAAGCTGCAATTGGAACCTGAATAATTCATAAGATGGTTTATAACAAATCTGAGTTCATCGAAGTCAAAATTAAGAATCTGGTTTAATCTTTTGTTTTAAAAGACAACGATTTTGGCGCTTTATTCTGATGACATTGTTACTTTGCATCAAAGAGAAGTTTTCTAAAGCAGCAACCCGCAGAATCTTTGTGCATCAAAACAAACAAAGAGAGTATAGAGGGTTATTATTCTATATATTTCTTTGTATCCTAGCAGCAGTAGTTAATTCGGAGGTTTATTTTGATATAATGCATCGTTTTCGGAAAGTGAACTAGGAGTTCCAGTGGACAGAAATGTCGTTTTTAACAAAACTGATGCTTATTGCTTGCTGTCAGAGCTTTACCTTCGGTAAGTATTTTTTAAAAAAATCACTTTTCTTGTACAACCTACAGGCAATAGCTTGTCAATATTTTTCTATAAGTCATACATTAGTCAAGTGAGAAAATGTCGTTGGATGACAAGGGTACACTGGGTTTCGCTTGAGCGTGGGAAATGTAATTTATTTGTGGTAAGGAAGAACCGCAGGATAGGCTGTCCGCCGGATTCTATGATTCTTGCAATGAGTATAAATATGCATTTTATACAGTATGTATTTTGCATTTTATTTAATTTATTTTAAAAATTGATCTTATTAGATTGGATTCTCGTCGCCGCTTTGCTTTGTTCCTGAACTTTATCTTCAATGTAGTTTATGTAGCACTAAATCACAAGTATATTATAAGCTTCTGGGATTGCAACGATTCGAATAAAAACTCGTATCAGAGGCTTCTAACACAATATAAAAAAGTCGACAGAAAATCAATGACTATGCAAAACTTGGAATAATGTAATGAAGCAATAAAAAACAAGTGAGCTTGTAAAGATTTAGAATAATGGCACTATTTAGTTGTAATGAGCTTTGGCAAATTCCTATAGCCCCTCAAATACCAATCAATGCACTCGTTGGAACTGTTTATTTGCAAGCGGAGAATAGTGACTCCTGTTACAAAGGAGAAGAGCTCTTATCTTCTTTTGAGCCAGGCATTGCTTTTAAAATATCATAAAGGGTTTACCCCCATTGTAAAAAGGGTTTTAATTGACAGTTTGGTCTAAAATAGTAGATTTCAAAGCATACTGCAACTGGAGACTTACTCATGCAGTGTTATAAAGAAAGTGGTTTTTAAGATGTTGCAATTTCTAAATTCTAAGGGTCTCAGCAAGAAGGACGGTTGATGGAAGACCTCTTCAAGGACTACAACAGCAGGGCGAGGCCTGTGCATAATGTGACAAATGCTGTGCAGCTTGTATTTGATATTGCATTGAAGCAAATTCTTGACGTGGTGAGCATCTTTAAAAAATCATTGACTTTCATTATTTGTAAGCTTTATTTATAAAGCGACTGAAATTTTGAGAGGTCATTAGAAAATGGCAGAGACAGCGATTTCAGTTGAAATATTCAAAGCATAGTTATTACAGATGAAGAAAATGTTTGAAATTTAGTTGGATGCCATAGTTATCATTAGCTCTGGTATGCCAATGAATGTATTGCGCTTTGGCTGGAACGTTTTGGTTGGCAAAACGAGACAATTGATGGCAACATATCAGAGATGAAATTTATCAAAATCTGATTTCTCTTCCCACTTTGCATTTTAGAAACAGCAAATTTCCATAAACAAAGAACCATTATAAGCATAAGACAAAATAACAACTTTACAAAAGCTAGGTGTTTAATTACTGGTATAACAAGGTTCTTCAACGAATCATAGATTTTCAATAAGCTATAAAAATATACTTCCGTTAAATGGGACCTCAAGAAGATCAGTCATGTTCCAGTTAAGCGAATCTCTTGGTAAATTGGATAAAAGAAGGAAAATATGAAATGTTCCATTTGGAGAGAGCTTGTGCGAATTCAGGATAGAAGGAGATACCCAATGTAAACTTATTAAAGCTTTAATGGAATAGATTTTGGCGAATAATTTTTTGCTTTCTTTTGCCTGACTGGTACAGCTTTGATTGACAATACGCACCACAACACAACAACAACGAAATGATTTCATTTTTGAACTATGTTTGAAATTATTACAATCCAGTATTGATTTTTGAATTTCATAACCAATTCAAAAATATCACTTAGACCAAGTCTTTAGCACAAGAGGAACAAAAAGCCCGTCCCAAATAGGGAATGTTCTAGTTAACAGGGATCTCATTTGGGCAAAGTTTGTCTATAAAATTTGATAAGGAAGTTCAAGAGACGTAGAAACTGGGTCACATACAGCAAAATTCCCATTTAGCCAGGTTCTCGCTTATCGAGAATATACTGGATTCGGTTTTGAGAGCAGAAAGCCTCGATGTCTGTACATCGTCTGTACGCAAACTTTTACGTTGAAGGACCATGAATTTAAAAATACGAATCTTTTTAGGATGAAAGAAATCAAATCATAACAACGAATGTGTGGGTTCGCCAGGTAAGCATTCATTTTATACATTTTCAAATATCAAAGTAGTTTTGTCGTTTGGATTTTTATCTGATTTAGGGCAGTTGTTCTTGGAACGAAAAGACACTTGGTAATGCCTTTTCAGAAACAATGCCTATCTGCTCACCAAGATACCTCTTTTTGCTCAAATTGTGCCCTTATCTTGCTCTTTGTGTCTCCTATTACTATGTCAGGGACTGCAAAGAGAAGCGGCCATACAGCAAAAAAGAAATGGGCCAAAGATTTTATTATATGTCAGACATAAACAAACTCTTAAAAATAACATGGTGAAGTAACATAGAATTTCCAAAGTATTTATATCGAAATGTGAATTTGCTGGTATAACTTAAAAGATATTATTTGAATTTTTGATCTTGATTGTTTATTCTACTTTTTCACTAACTACTTTTCTATGCCTCAAAATCTGACTACCTTTCTCCTGACAGAAATAGCGTTTTTTAATCTTCGATAACAACAACCTATTAATTTTGTTTCAATTGCCTCGTTGACTTGACTACCTTGTTTGCCCCTTGTTTGACTTAGCTACCAATCTTTTGCCAATAACGTTGAGTAAATTATTCAAAGCTTTCTCATAAGAACATTCTATTTCCTTTTTTACCAATAGATATAACCCTCCTTAGCTGATTTAACATGTGGGATCGGGTAGTTCAAGTTGCATAATTCTTTAAAAGATCACAGAATCCAAACGTGCTTAATTTGGAAGATTTAGATATTTTAAATGCAGTTTTTAACTTTCATTTCAGTACTGGTCTGATGAATTCCTAAGATGGAACACTTCACAATATGGCGGCATTACGGCAATCAGAGTTGATGCAACTTCAATTTGGAGGCCTGATCTTCGACTCTACAACACGTAGGCTTTCTCCTAAATTAAAGTCATCTATTTTATTGATGCGATGAAAATACCTTTGAAGCTTCTATTCCCATTTCATTCTCCAACAACATTTAATATATATATATATATTTATTAAAAATTCCATGTATAATAAAAATTGAAAGGGGAATGAGCATAAATTATAAGTTTATTTTTGACTTAATTGAATGAGTATCTTGTCATTTTTTCGAGGAAACCTCTTGTTTTCTCCAATCCAGGACTTTAACTATTCTTTATCGTAAGCACATTCGTAAATCATTTCTAATAAACTCTAAGGATTTTGCTAGAATAAAATTTCTGATATGTATCAAAGCTTATTAAATATCAAATTCCAGTGCCCAAGAAAACTTTAAAGGTATAGATATCGAAAGCAAAACAAAAGCAACTATATACTCCGATGGTTCAGTTGTCTGGTTGAGTCCTCATGTGCTAAAAAGTGTTTGCAAGATGGACATCACATACTTTCCATTTGATGATCAGTATTGCGTTATGGTTTTCGCTTCATGGGCCTATCATGGTACACATGTCAACATCACAAACAAGTTACCGGCTGGTGACCTGAGCAGCTATTCCGCAAGCGGAGAATTCCAGTTACTAAGTAAGCCGAATTCAACTCTCTTTGTTCCATATTCGTCCCCTTAGCTAAAAGGAACATTGGGTGCCGCGTATATGTATCCCCCTTTGGAATCAAACGCCTAGTATTTTTTGCAAATCTTAAATCACATCGACACTGCAAAAGAATAAGTTCCTTTGGGAAAAGGAAGGCATATGCCCTTACGCTTTGCAAAACTTTAGTAAACAATCTTTTTCTATAGACATGTGATTTGTGCTTGCTACAACTCTCCCTTCTAGCTACGGGGATGAACGTGACATTAATTTTGGCCTCACATGTCACACCCAGTAATTCTCCAGAGTCAGATTTTGATATCTGTGAGTCACTCTATCGTTGTTTGCGCCAAACATCAAAAGATGACACTTGCTTATTGAATTTTATGGAATTATCAGAGAACTAGCATGCTAAAACAACGTATATTCTTTTAGTTTTACGTTCCTATTGCCAACATATATTGTTTTATTGTCAATGCAGTTGTAGACGTAAGTATCATACACCAGATAAAATGTTATTGATTAAGTTACTGAAGAGGATGGGTCCTAATGCCGATCCCTGCGCTACCCTTATTCTCAAATAAAACCAGGCGCTCAATGTTCCATTTACCCTCACCCCTTGCCTTCTAGCAAAGAGATAGCTACAAATAAAGTTAAGAGCATTGCGAATAAAACCATAGGCATCTCTAGCTTTGCTTAGGAATGGTCGTGGTCCAAGCAATCAAGGACGTTGGGAAGGCCTAACGTTTTAAATGCAAGAATTATTTTTTCGGTAGTTTTCTCAGTATCCAAAGTCTCGCCAAGACCGTAAGCCTTACATGCAGGTAAACCTTCCGAAGTTTAATCAAGCTTCTAACCAAAACGGTTTTCATTACTTTATTTGAAACTGGTGCAATTTTTAGCTTTACTAAAGCTTATTAAAGCCAATGGTTCTTCCAGTCCAGTCCAGTTTAGATGTATTCCGCCTCTATTCCATTACCCTCTTCAATCTCCTTCTCTAATCGTATTAGCAAAACACGATATGACAGAGCGGCGCATAATTCTATTTTTCCTTCGCAAACCTTTGAATTCATCTTTCTTCAGCAGTGTATGGATGAAGTAGGGGCACTACTACCTTGTTGTTTCTGAATCAGGCGCGCAACCAGAAATTTCAGAGGGCAGGGGTCCAAGACACAAAAAGGGCACTAATTAAATTTCATTAAAGGTCCACCGGGGCATTTGTTTAGGAACCGCGAAAATATGAGCAGTTAGTAAATCTGTAAATATTGTACGCCAGACAAGGGAAACTGATCAATAGAGAAAAGTTGTGGTGTACGGTTTATTTTGTGGTGAGGTGTGATTTATTTTTTCCTTTTAATTTTAACTATGCATATGACTTCTTTCTGTCTGCCGTACAGTGCCGCCGAGAAGTTTAGGAGGCCCGAGGGAGGGGGGAAATGGAAAAAACAATGCCTCTTGCGAGCGAAGCGAGCAAAAATTTTGCAACCACACCCTTGCAAATAGCTTAAATTCACTAATTCGTTTAAGATGTTTTACTTTTTAATTGTAATTTTGTTACTTTTAATAAATTCCATTTAAAAACGGAATTCATTGCTTTGTGAGGCTCCCTAGACCTCGAGGCCCTAGGGCAGTTTGCCCCTTTGTCCCCCTCTCGGCGACCCTGCTGTCATCTCCTTTTCCCAGCGCCAGCTCACTTTTGAATAGCAGCCCATCTTTCATATCCGAAGACATTTTGCTCTTTGAAATATTATTATTGAATTCTTTGCTTCGCACTACAGTGGGAGTAGGTTGAACAGTTCCACGAGCCTTGCCTTCAGCTGGTTTCTGTCTCCAAGTCTTGCTTTCAGCTGATTTGTAATACTGACAAGGAACGGAACAGCTGAACATCAACTTTTTGTGCCATCTTTACTGCTTTCTAATACCAGTCCGCGAATATTTCTCTGCATTCGCTCGTTTCATGCAAAGGTCTTCTATGACCCTGTCAACTATGTGACAGGCTTAAAAAATGTCTTGGTCGACCCAACAAGCTCTTACAAGCTCTTACCAGAGGTCGTAGAGGCTCTATCCCGTTCAAAATCTTGTGCCTTTATTTTGGTTTTTGAGTCCCAGAACCATTCTTCTTCAAAGCCAGTGCGTGACGCATCTTAAAACACGCTGTAGAGTTGGGGCTTGAAGATATACTCTATTACTGCAACATGATGACGTTCGACCCAACAAGTGCGCGAAAGTTTGACTAAATCATTTATCTGTATTCCTGCGAGGTCCATTACATCTCCGGAGTGTGTCATTTACTGTATGACCAACCATTTTAGCGTAATAATCAAAATATTCAAGCAATTTTCCAAGAAAAAGGGCACTTTTCCCCTTTTGAGAAAAAGGGCAGGGGTCTGGACCCCCAGGACCCCCCCCCGTAGTTGCGCGCCTGTGAATGATCAGGATTACCTTGTACTAGTGTCTTGACAAGATTATGTATATTACTGGCAATAACGGTGGAGCTGCACATCATTTCATGCTCTTTTTCCAGAATGCGAGTGGATGTGATCATATTTATTCATTGATCGCCTTATTGGCTCAGCATTCAAATTCTTCGCAATTGAATGTCCAATGATCTGATATAGTCTTAGATATAGTAATTTAAGAAAGGTACGTAAGAGCGGTCAATACCCTATACTGGAATACTCAATCTATATAGCCAACAAAACTTTATTTTAGGCTTCAATGTCGAAAGAAAAGTGAAGAGATACGACTGCTGCCCAGAGCCGTACCCAGAACTGACATACACATTGCATTTACGACGCCGTGCCAGGTTCTTCCTCATGAATACAATTGTACCAAGCACTTTGATCTCCTTCTTGGCATTTCTGTCCTTCAGCCTTCCACCAGATTCCGGAGAACGCATTGGCCTAGTCATCACAACACTGCTATCGCTGGCTGTATTCATGATGATCATATCCGACCAGATACCACCAACATCAGAGGTTTTTCCACTGCTACAGAAGTTCTTAACTGCTGTGATGTTTGAAATTGGCTTTGCACTTATGGCCAATTGTGTCGTCATCTCCTGGGCATCTCGTGAAGGTCCACCTTCTCCTTTTCTTAAGAAAATTCTCAACTTTCAGTTCTTTAAGAAGGCCCTGAAGGATCGCAATAATGTCAAAATTACAAGTGTAAATGGGGAAGGAGATAAAGGTAGGCATTACATGGTTTTAGGAAGATAGTAGGGTTGTGTTAATCATATTGAAGGATGCTTTATGCTACTGACGAGGTGACGAAGAGCAAAACCGTAATTTTCTTAATGAGAACCATAATAAAACTGATTACAGCAAACATACAAATTTCACCTGCTCATTTTTACTGTAAACACCAAGAAGAAGATTTTTTTTTCATTTCACGGAAGAATACTTAAAAAAGCTGATTTGAGCATAAGATAATCCAATTGTTTGTCCAAACAGATAAGACGGGCTTCTACTTGATTCGCTATGCTCGCGCTAGTATGCGAACATACTTCTGCGCAGGCGTTAGGTTTGATGCCTTTCTTGCCGTAAATGCGCAACTATTAGCTGTGTAGTTCAACTTAGACCCCGTCCAGATGTTTTACGGTGTTTTAGGTCACCATAAACTCATACTTTTGAAAACGATCTCCAAAGTGGATGCTTCCAAAACAACTTCAATATAATGGTCCCCTCCCTAAAGTTCACAGAATATCTTTTTCCAAGGGTATCCCATATATGGAGGTCTATTTGTTATCCATTTCTACCCACATTTTCCATTACATAACAAACCCGCGGAAGAAACACTATCTAGACACGTGATTTTCATTGCAGCTATGTTTTCTTTAAGGAACTGGTCAAGCAAACAACGGATATCAAAAGGAATCCAATCAAAGAAACCCTGCAAAAAAAGAGAATGAAAATGATTGGGAAAGAAAGGTTTTGAAACATCTTCAAATAATCTCTGAATCTAAAGCTGTTAAGAAGAAACAACAAGCGTACAAAGACGAATGGAAATTGGCGGGTGCTACTTTGGATCGCCTCTGCATTGTTTTGTTCCTTGTCACAATAGTTGCAACTCTTGGATTTGTCTTCGATGCTGCACCCCGTATAACTCTTTAGCTCTCAGAGAAGATAGATTGCAAAGAAAAAAATATTACTGATCAGAAACGATTCAACATGATAACTTTGGGTCAAGAAATTGGCTCACCATTCCTAAATTAAATTTGCCGGTGCTTCAAGATGACTTGCTATGTTTTTAGAGTTAAACCAGGCCTTTTCTCATTCTTTGTTTTGTAACAGACACAAAAACCACCTTAAAAGATAACCTTCAAAGCCAGAAAAAACCCTGATAATTCTCAAGACCAAAAGACCACAATCATGATCGACAAACAAACGACTTAAAACACCAACAAGATAAGACGAAAGATTGTGTGTTGTTATCTTCCATGATGTTTGTAGCTTGCTTTCCTGCGCTCTTGGTTACCCCTAGGTAACAAAGATAAGGAAGCTGAAATAGCTTTTTACGCGTCAGTGATTCAGCCTTCCCTTAAGCAGAACAAACCCACTGTGAATGGACTGAAAACAATCTATATTCCTAGAACATAAATATAAAACATTATCTAGAACATAAATAGCCTCTACACATATCTAAAAGTCTGATGCACTGTTAAGTTAAAAGTATGCAATCCATGTAAACAAAATTATTTCAAGTGGTGTAAGTTTGCATCCACATGATAATCTTAGATCCGTTGCTAACCTCCAACGCTCATTAAGATTATTTGTGGAAGCAATATGTATTAATAAGGAAAATAAAAATGGGTCAGAACACAGCAGAAAAAAAAGGAAAATCAAATGCAGAAGAATGTTGTTAGGTAAGACTTTTGGTTGTTAGGTAAGACTTGTGTATAGGCGATTGTATTTAAACATTCAATGAAAGTAGCAAGAAACTTGCGGTATTATCTTTTCTCTATATAACTAGCCTTCTTTGCTGCCTTTGTTACGAATATACATTTATATCGTATTGTTCAGTTTATTAAGAGAAAAAATATCTATCTTTAATGTTTGTAAAAAGTTAATATTTAAGGAAAATATTTTTTAGGCATAAAGGGGAGGAAACATAATTCAATGATAAAATAAAGACATGAATCATCCAAACATTGTCAGTAGGCACGTATGTTGCCAAAACGTAGTAAGTGGGTCGGCAAAATAATGGTTCAGGCTTCATCTGCTCTTGTAGCAATGAAGAAAAGTGATGAGAGAAAAATAAGCTAAAGAAGGAGTTCCAGACGTAAGACCATTGTTTTTGGTTAAATTTTTAAACCACTATGCTGCCTATGTTCTACAACATATGCATTTGAACTTTATCTCATCTAGCAAAGAAAACTTTCAGGATTAAGATGTGTATAAGAGTTGGAAAGTTCCACCCTAAAACAAAAACATTTTTGTTTGGAGTTAGAGGCTTTGCAGATGACATTTTAAGGTGGATCGTTGACCCAACAGCTTTTATAAAAATAGTGCTGTCACAGAGGCATTAATTGTGACATGAACAATGCTTACGTGATAAAAAAGGTCTCAAGGAGCAATTTGAAAAAATAATTTGGTTGCTATAATAACAACCATTGAATGAGACTGTTGCAATATGTATCAATTTCAGAAGAGCCTTTCCATTCAAAAATCGTTTTGTACCAGACCCGCAATCACCAAGGAAAGTCTGATGAGATGCAGCAGTTACAGAACAGGCATCAAGCTTTCAAGATAAACAGGCATTTTATCGACAGGAAAGCAATATCTTGTTGACAATGACTTGAGAAATATTTACGGACATCGCTAGCAAAGTGGGAAATAGAGGACAAATTTTGTCAAGTTAGTTTGCCACACCCAGATAAATTTTCAAGAGATGTTGATGGCAAAGAATGTCCAAATTATTTCCTGACTTCCAGCAAACCAAATGATGAAGAAGCGAGCAGCCAGTGTGCATCATTTATAACCATGTAAATTTATTTCTTTAATTTTTACTTGGTATCTGAACAAACAGATTTAAGTGCAAAGAATACAAGTTTGCTTCTCTTCTGGAGACGCTAACATAATTAAAAATCATAGCTAATTCTGCAAACGCTGGTGAATTTTCAACTTTTCAATGCTGATGGTCGGGGACAAATATATGCCATAAAGCATACAAAGCAAATACAGAGTAGGATAGCAATCCATTATAAAAATCCATCAGGATATCAACATACTATGAGCAACAATCAACTTTTTTGACAGCGCCTAAATTTGTTAACACAATATTCACTCGACACACTGGTTAAGAGGTTTTAAAGAGAAACAAACAGATAGCCTAGCGTCCATGTTATGTTTTTTATTTAAGTCACGAGATGATGTAAAAAAATAAGCAGAGCATTGCAGATTTGCTTTTAAATTTCTTGACATGACATGAGACACAGACTTCTTTCTTCTCCCTAAGACGGATTGGCCATCACGACGAGTCCTGTTTAGCATAACTGATACTTTTATGGATCACAAATATTTCATGTTTTGACAAAATATTGCAAAATTTACAACATTCCTCGAATTTACAAATATTGCAGATTGAGTGGCAGCGCAATATGCTATAAGACGAGCAATCTCTTGCAACAAAGATTGAAGTTATAAAGTTACTACTGGGCATTCAACTATAAGTTTAATTTATCCTACGCGAGAAAGACGAGTTAGAGAGACAAGGGCAAAACGTTTGGCATGTATGGCCGAATGCACCTATATGCTGAAACTGAAACTACCAACAATTGCTCACTAAGAGTGAGATATTGGTAACAATAACATGAAGTTAAAACGCATGTACAAACTTTGGTAGTTGAGACAAGATATTTAGAAATATAAACATTTCCTTTAAACAATAATGCGGTGATGCAATAGAATATTGCATCACCGAAAGAAGAATGTCTCTTTTATGTTTCTATGGAGCAACAGACAAGTTCAGAAATATCCAAAGTGTTTAACCGGTGACCTAGGATCATGCTGGTAAGTCAAATAGATTTTAATAAAATATCGCTTCTAAAATAGCGAATGCTCAAAAGGGCTCCAAGTGCTTTTTGTCTCTTAAATGAAAATTATGTTTTCAGGTTTTACTACAAAGATGCAGTGTATGTCATTCACGAAATTCTTTTGATGAAATTTTGGCTGTATAATTTCACAAGAGTTAAACTTTCGTACATGCCTTTATAATTCCATGACAAGGATGACCAAGGTGTAAATTTTTACCTAAATGTGGATTGTACGATCAAGTATTTTATAAAACTTTACATCTTTTAAGTAAGTATATATCTTTAGAGTTGGCAAATTTGGCACGACCAAGGCAAGTAAAAGTCATGAAAAAGTTTGCAGCAACTTTAAGAAGATCTGTCTGGGAGAAAACCTCTCTGTTAAGAATATAATTAATCTCTCAATTAAATTATTTTTCAAGCAAATGTTACCATATAATATCATCAAATACTACCATAGAGAGAATTAAAATGCATATTGAATTATGACAATGGTACTGGTATCTTATTGATAAATTTTTTCTTTAATTTATGTAAATAATGAAGAAATATTTCATGATATCTCTAAGTTGCTTCATACAATATATACCAACACTCCCTGCATTTTGAAACTACAGGCAGACAAGAAGGCTTAACTTCTTGAGCGCATAGAGACAAGAAAACAGAAATTCAATCTGCTTGAAACGAACTTTTCGAAGGAAGAGCATTACTGTATTACTAGGCTTCTTGAGACTTTATGCCACACTATATGGAGGGTTTTCTCTTCGAGAGTTTAACTTTGTGTATAGCTTTATGATTTCTGTCTAGCTAAAGTTCTAAGTAAGGCAATTTAAGTGCTGAAGTGCCATAGCAATGTCAGTTTCGAAACAGGATGTTAGAAGATTGTATGAAATTAAATAGCAAAGCCCAGTTGCAATATTGCAGTTGAAGAGCACTAATTGCAATGATTTGTTAACCGTATTTACTCTTTTTTCCAAAGAAAATTCAAATGCTAAAATATTGACAGTGTTTCTAAAACTATATTGTTTCAGGACTCCTTTCACTTCCAATCACGCTGCAGTGCACACCTGCATCGCTAAAGTGGATTATCAACCTCGGTGTGTCATTATTCCAATGTATATCCTAAACGAATCATTAACAGACGGGGGTTACGTCCTATGCAAATATTGTAACTGGGACAGACCGGCTCTATGTTGATGATACGATTATGGGTCGCGTTCCCATTTCAATAAAGTTCGGCTAACGAAGAAGCCTCAGATAACGGAACAAAATTGGCATGGCTGAATTTGGGCCCCTTCAATCCTGTTATTTGAAACTTCTTTATATCTGGTCAGATTTAATCATTTCTTTTTAGCCAGTTGTGAAGGTTAATGCTACATCGAGCGTTTACAAAATGCAAAACTATGAATTCAATAAATTCATCAATATTATCTATCATCTACACACTTTAAAAAGAGGACTGTTCTGAGGAATGTGATAGCTGCTTAGCATTCCAAATGGATGTCGTTGTGAGAGACAGCCTTTTGCAGCCTGGCAAGAAATGAGTCAACTGACCTAACAATGCTTAGGTGCAACTGCAGCAAACCCCCGCGATTCTTTCAATTCGATGTCTTTTCGAGAACTTTAATTAATAAAGACTAGTCAGCGATGAATGACCTTCAATTTTTCAATGCAAAAAGAATGTATAAACAAAAGAATGTTGAACAAAGCTCAAGAGGTTTCTATGGCAAGAACACAGGCAAAGATTGATAGCTTTTGGAAATCTGTAGTACAGGCACTAAGATACAAATAATTGAATTCTACAAGTAAAGCGGAGACTTCATGCCTCTGTCTTAATATTGATGGAATATGTTTCGAATAATACTTCTTTGGTTTGCATTTTCGGTCAATATTAAAGGTATGTGGTATGTTTTGATATTACAATATGTAAATATTGATTAAAGGTTCAATCTTGCAGATATAGGTTCTTCAACACACCAGGAAACATGGAGGCACTCATAGAGGAATAGCTACAATTAGCTATGCCTTTACAATATATGTAAACTCTATGTAGAGATAACGCCATTGATGAGATCCTCCCGCAAAATACTTGAAATCTACAACTGGTATTGTAGTGTAAATACAATGTATAAAGTTCAAAGTGTGAAAATTTTATGTCTGAAGTTTTATGAGTGTGAAAATAGCAAAAACATGGTCTATTGAAGGTAATTCTGTGGAGATTGACTGGATGAGAAACACTCAAAGTATTTTGGTAAGACAAAAGACAAAACTGTTTTGCAGTAGTCAGATGCTACGGTACACTCAAGTTTACGCTGATACTTTGAAGCGGTGAATCTTTGGAAAGCTAATATTTACAGATTAACAAGTTAATCATTTTGTTTGCAAATAATTGAGTTTTTTTCTAAATACGCCTATAAGAAATATATTCCTTCACAACCTCAAAGAGAAAAAAGGCGGTATTTCTATATGACAACGGCAACTCTATTGAAGATGAGAAAGTGTTTATGCAAAGCCCATCGATCTGAAGTTAGTTGAAAACAAAACAGATTATATGTATACTGACGAAAATTCAGGCTTTAACAACACAAGCTTGCAGAAACGGGGGTTCTTAGCTTCTATAATATGACTCAAAATCCCGCTCTTTCGTGTATAGAACAGAGCGGTTCTAAGATGCTACACTGAGTTTCACACTTAATGAGACCATCAAGCAACTGTCAATTCAGAATCTCTATATGAATCACCTGTAAAAAATTAAACCGTGGCCCTTTTACGGTATCCTATAAAAGTGACCCCTTTTGGGCACCTATCCCAATGTCCATCTAATTTCGTGGAAGCACCTTGCAAATATATGAGGTTATATATAACGAGATAAGCGACGTGGAAATATGCGCTCAGCTTAAATCGCGCGAACCGACAGATACAGACTGTATCTTCTTTCCATGCCACCTGTCTTACGTTGTTCGCAAATGAAAGTATTAAGTCATAAAATAGAAAAGACTTAAAAATAATACCTGTTAAGCCAAAGAACTCCAGCAATGTTCCAGTGTTTGATATTTGTAAGCAATTGTGTTTGTTCTTTTTTATTTATCATATTCAGGAGTAGAAAGATCGATAGTTCAGAGAGTAGAATTTTAACTTAGATGGTAATTTCATCAAAGTTTGAAATATGCCTCTTCGTTCACCAAAAATTTAAATATCGCTCATGGGACTTGTTTGCATTTTTGCTGGCTTGGATATACTTCAGTATTTTGGCGGCTAAACATGCTCAGACGATCAAATCAAATATTTCGCACATAATGTTGTGTTGTGATACGGAACGTCCTCGTAACCAGAACAAACAATTTTTTAAGTCAACGCTTACATTTATTTAGATTGGTGTATAAAAATTCTAAAAACCAAGAGCAAGATGTTTCATTTTATGATTTTAAGTAAATTTTAGGAAGTATTGGGGGGCAAAACCTCTTTAACCCCTATCCATGATTCATTCACTTGACTAATTGAAGTTGTAAATTGCTAAAAACAGACAACTAAAAAAGACAGCTTTTGAGAATTCGATATAATGACAGCTTTTGAATAATATCAAGCAACATTACAGTTTGTCACTGACTCCTCTGCAAAGCCCTGGCAAAACAAGTAAACATTTTACTAAATATTTTACTCAACTTCTGTTTAGTGAATTTGAGCGAAATTCAATTAGGATGTCAAAGCGAGACTAAACGTTTCATAAAACTTCACTCAACTTTTTTGAACTGCGAGCTGTGCCGAACGTTGTGTGGTTGTAGGGGATCTTGTCTAGAATTTTGCATTCTGTTTGTTTTGTTATATAAGACTTCAAATACAAGACGTGGAGATGAAAATAAAAATTTGAAGAAACGACGTGAAAAGAAAAGACTTTGATAACAGAGTTGAGTGTTGAAGAAGACAGAGTAGCCTACAGCGAAATGATGCAGATGTCTCACGAAGGCATTCTAGAGATTTTGGGCCACATAGAGACAGAAAGACCGAGGAGCAACGACGAAAAGCTTGGGATTGCCACAGCTACGGCGCTTGCGCTAGTACAAAAGTGTTAAATTTGTGGCAAAACGAGTAAACATTAGCTAAACAATCCTAAACATTTTCGACAAGAATCAAGCTTTGCTAAAAAAAACTCAACACGACTAAACAAGACTAAACAGGGTGGCAAAATGAATAAAATTTCGATCAGCTCCAATCGGAAACCTTTTTTCTGAATATCTGGAGAAAGAAATTGTGAGCTTAAAACGAAATCAGCGGAAATGGGTTTTTAAAATGCGAAGAAATTCAAAATATTTCTAAGTCAGATTTTGTGAATTTCTGTTTGCTTTGATTGACACTCACCTTTACTAGTGGAATACAGACGTTCTCTACTTTTAAGATGATACAACAAGTGATAAAGTGAATGGTTTGTTAAAGTAGATTACCAATAACTAACTGCATTCCTTGGTGACGCTCTCTTGGTTTCAAGCAATACCAAAAGAAATGTAAAGTGACAATGCTACTGTTACCACAATGGATGAGCAGACAGAAGCTTGTAAACGTAAACTGAAAAAGCTTCTTCAAACCCCTTCTGTCGTTGAGTAGATGTTAGCAGCATAGCGGTCAAATCTTTGTTTGGCTGAGAGCTATGCTCGCTACCATGTTCTAAGCCAATCAGCACACAGGATTCTCACAACAAAATCGCTTCGCAGCTAGAATTAGGCCCATTTCCGCTATTTCAGCGTGTTTTTACCACATTGTCTAAAAAAAAATTGCACGCCTCTACAAAGCGAATTTTCACTTAATTGTTTGTCAAGTTTATCATCATGCGTTGCTATTTAACCTATATTGGCGCCACTGTTCGATCGCAAAGAATAATATAAAAAAACACCTCGCAAATGATCGCTAAATTTCGTGTCGAGATTCAGGTAAATTACGTTTTTACCTCTCCCCACCCAAAGTGCTTTAGACATTTCACATTTAGATAAAATCAATTATATACTCACCTTAAATCTAGGAATGGTTCATAATCCCGTCAAAGATGCACTCATCGCCAATGTAATTATCACAACGGCACGAAGGCATTCATATTCACTCTCGAACTCAATAAATGTAGCTTTGTCCTCTGGAATCCAAATTTGTTTCATAAAAGTGAAAAATTTTCAGCAACAATCCAAAGTAATTTCAATCATAATTGTCTAAAGACAATTGACCATTTTTACTAATTTTATGTGATGAAAATGGCGAATACACTCAAGTGGTAAGACTGGGATCTAATAAAATTTGAAAACCGCGGGAAAGTTGACGAAATCGAATTAAGAATTAAGTCATTCAAAGCCTGGTTGGATACCTTTCACAAATGTTTGATGTCAATAGTGTAGTTCTATGTACGTTGAAGCCATTTACAGCATTAGATGAAACAGCCGATATAGAGACAGTTCATGGACTGCCACGCCCAGTCATGGACCTGAGTTTGTTGTCATTAGAATTTGACTATTCTTGTTGGTTATTCTAGGAACAAATATCTAAGAACATTACCATTAGGTATCTTTCTAGAAAAAAGGCAGAAATGAAAATGTTTGATAATGTTACAAATGCAATAGCCTTGCAGTCAAGCCCTATTCTTGTGATGTAGAGAGATTAGTTAGCGTCTGTAATTGAATGAAAACGCCATTAAGAAACTCTCTCGATATAGAGACACAAAATTTGCATTTGTACATCATCCAATACAACATGGCTTCAAAGACCCAAAGAAACACCAAAAGCAAGATAAAAATGATTTTTAAAAGGGATTTTCAAGAAAGTAAACAATGCAGAAGAGAATGAGGATAAACGAGATTCTGACAAATCACAAATTAAAACACATAAATTCGGAGTTTCGAACACGTACATTTTGTTGTCGTTTTATCATGTTGATATTTTTTCTAAATTTCAAGAAAAGAAGAGAACTGCCCAAACTTTGTAGAGAACTTTCCGTTTTGGAAAATAAAAGGTCTTAGGATGACCAATACACTAAACAGAAGCTGAGTGAAATGAAAGTTTTAGTCGTTTTGCCAGGACTTTGCCAGGGCTGATAATGAAAAACGACTCTTCTTGATAGATGAAATTGTAAGACATTTGATGACACATTCAAGATTAAAGAAACGACACTGTTAACATATGAAGAATAAACAACTTGTGCTTTAAACATATTTTTATTGACGTGATAACATGCTTTGTATTGAAGATGGTAGATTGTTTATTAAAGCATTTTATGTATTACAGAGGCGATAAGCGGATACGAAAATTCTCTGTTTGCAAAACTTCTTAACAACTACAACGTAGAGCTGCGGCCTGTACGGCATCAGCACGATCAAATACAAGTTCAAGTGGATTTAGGATTGACTCAGATCATATCTATGGTGAGTAATTTTTGATTTGGAAATCAGAGAGCGTTTCTTTCACTTTCCTGACCTAAAACGGAGCGTAAGTTGGAGAGAACATTGGAGAGAGCAGGGTGTGAAATAAAGGACCTCATAAAAAACACAAAAAAACAGGATTTTCTAGTTTAACAAGCAAGTTTTCGATTTTCTCCCGACGGTAGGACTGTTGCTCAACGTGCTTCCCACAGGAAACATTCCCATATTAAAATGACCTTGAAGAAACCTTGAAAAGGCTAATTTTGTTGCTTCATGCGTATTTTCTTAATTTTAATAGCCATTTTTGACCGTCTCTCATTTTTTACGCATATATTGTGTATTTTTTCAACTTTTAGATACATTGGAATCATTGTTTTGTTCCATAAAAACATTTAGATCATTGCATGATATCTAGAATCATTAAGCAAAAAATTAATTTCCATGGATTAAAAGTGTAATTATTGATACCATTTATTTCAGGACGAGAAACATCAAGTACTTATCTGGAATGGTTGGGTAAAACAGGTAAATCAAACAATCTGCTTACAACGATGTAAATATTATGCCCCTATGTTTTTGTGAGACTTTTTCGTAGAAACAGATTAAATCATTCTTTTGTACCATTTCAGTACTGGAATGATCATCGCCTCAAGTGGAACACGTCTCAGTTTGGAAACATAGATGACATTTCAGTTGATAAAGATATCATTTGGAAGCCTGACATGGCGCTTTACAATAAGTATAATCCTTTGATACACATAAAAGCTATTTTTTGATCTCAACCTGTTTATATTCGCTAAAGAGTTCCCGTATTGGTATCTGTATTTCCACCAATTGATACAAAGCAAAAAATTTTAATTACTTTTGTTGATACATTTCCAATTAATAAATTCACTTCTGAACTCGAAATATCTTACTTACTTTATTGATTGTTCTAATATATTTAACTTTTCACTTATGTCTTTAGCGATTCTGTTAGGATTAGGTAGATTTCAATTATTTATTTTTCAGTGCGAAAGAAAACTTCCAACTTCTCAGCGTAGAAGCTCAAGAAAAGATAATAGTGACCCACTCTGGTAATTGTTTCTGGGCAATTCCCTTTGTATTTCGCACAATTTGCCAGTTAAATGTCAAATATTTTCCATTCGACGAACAAAGTTGTCAGTTTGAAATAGGCTCTTGGGCCTACACCGGAGATGTTTTCAACATAAGCTACAAAAATCCGCAAGGAGATCTCTCACAATACTCTGAGAACAGTGCCTGGAAAGTACTCAGTAAGTATGCAGTCAACATACACATGTCATTAAAGACCGAGATACAATTTTATGTTTGGGGGGGGGGGGCAGCCCTGCTAAATAAGTGTAACAACAGTCACACATAAAATAAAAGTATTTTTACTTATGCTACCTAAGTTTTTGGGGGAGCCAAGGCCTCCTCACGGCACTCCGGTATTTCGGTTCTTGCATAATTATGCCGTTACTTAGAAATTACGTGAGGGACAAGTAGAGTATGGTCAGTACACCAAAACGAGGATTCATGGAAAGTCTCGTTACTAGTCTATGGGACCCTTTTTCGTTGGGGTTTCATGCCATGTTTTCTACGCTAAGCCTTGGGCCCTGCAGGTTCACAATACCCCCTGCTCTTTATGTTTTTTACATAGGATGCAATAAAATCAAATTATGGCACTTTCATATTCTTTGTCTTATTATGACTGAGCCCTACCTTTCCATGGAACAAGCACAATTTCTATCAAGTTAACCAAATGCAAAATCCTTTTACTTTACACTTTTATTTAGATCAGATCATCCCTCAATTAAAATCATATCTCATATACAAATTTTACTACCTCCCTTCTAGAAATCGATGTCGCACATAAAATTGGGTACTACCAATGCTGCCCAGAGCCGTTCCCGTCCATCATATACACAATGCAATTGCGAAGGCGCTCAAGGCACTATATATACAAGATCTTTATACCAACCTTGCTAATAGCTCTTCTTGCGATATTCTCGTTTTTTCTACCGTCAAGTTCTGGAGAGCGCGTCACATTGCTAAGCACAAACTTCGTGTCTCTTGCTTTTTTCATCATGTCGTTATCAACTTTGGTCCCACCGACTTCAGAGGTAACACCGTTAATTGAAATCTATCTTACTGCGGTGTTTATAGAGATATGCGCAGCACTTATTCTCCGCTGCTTTATAGATATATTCAAGCGAAAGCAGTTACAGCCTGGAAGATTTGTTCGCGTGGTAGTCAACCAATTCCTTGCAACACTCCTTTGTGTAAGGCGCAAAACTGCCGACTGTCTAACTCCAGAAAACGATAATTTTCCAGCATTGGGCCCAGAAAACATAAACCTGGCCGTCTTAAAAGATTCAGAGACTTATCCTGATAATTCTTATTATGAATGGAGGGATGGCACAATGCTTCGACGGGTTAATCGACTTGCTGACCACGACAACGACTCGTCCATCTATATGAACAATGAATGTCATGGGGAAAATACGAAAAAAACTTTTTCGAGCGAAGACATGTTAGAAAATAGCTCTGGAAAAGATAAGGGAATGACTGAATTTGAAGAGAGATCGTTATTTTCACTAGAAACAGTTTCAGATTCCGTGGTTCAGAAATATATCTCGAAAAAACGACGCCAGGAGTTGGACCAACTTATACAGCGCGTGGATCAATTGTTCTTCTGGTTGTTTACACTGGCCATGAGTGGAACATTGCTTTTTGTATTTTTGACCCCTCCTAATCTAGTGTTCTGAGACATTGAAGCTCCGACCCCAACATTTGACAGGAGTTGGACCAACTTACACAGTGCGTGGATCAATCGTTCTTCTGGTTGTTTACACTGGCCATGAGTGGAATTTTGCTTTTTGTATTTTGCTTTTGACCCCTCCTAATCTAGTGTTCTGAGACATTGAAGCTCCGACCCCAACATTTGACAGGAGTTGGACCAACTTACACAGTGCGTGGATCAATCGTTCTTCTGGTTGTTTACACTGGCCATGAGTGGAATTTTGCTTTTTGTATTTTGCTTTTGACCCCTCCTAATCTAGTGTTCTGAGACATTGAAGCTCCGACCCCAACATTTGACAGGAGTTGGACCAACTTACACAGTGCGTGGATCAATCGTTCTTCTGGTTGTTTACACTGGCCATGAGTGGAATTTTGCTTTTTGTATTTTGCTTTTGACCCCTCCTAATCTAGTGTTTTGAGACATTGAAGCTACGACTCTAGCATTCGTCAAGTGTTGAGTACAGGTTGTTCAAGAATATCAAAATTGTGTGAAAGGAAAATGAATGAAATCTACTGTGATAGGCACAAATTGTGACGAACACCGAACGCTTCGAAAAGATTATTAATTCTTCTACGTTGACTGGCATCTTATCATGGTATGTGACACAAAGATACCAATCACAGTATTGCATGCTGTATTTATGTGAATCAGAATATGTATTAAAAAGCAAGCAAGAGTAATGGATTTTGAGCGAAAAACACAGTCAAGGCAGAATGAAGTAGAAGCAGAAACACTTTGAAATTTATCAAATTATTCTATTAGTTGAATCATTTTTAAATAGCGGGAGGTATTAAAGAATTAGAAATGCTATGTTCAGTGGTAAACGAGTATTATGGTAGTTACGTAGACCTTTCTCAAGAACCAACACCTATACAACTGCTAAAAATTACGACAAGGACAAAGATTGCTAGAATTTCCTGAATTAAGAGAACGCGTAATAGGAGCTAAAATTAGAAGAGATAGTCATTCATTCAATGAGTTTTTCGCTCTCAGAATGGTATTATTCTGAAGATTTGGCAATGACAGGAGAAGGAACGATGATGAAATCAATTGATCAGATGACGCAAATGACAAAAAAATGATTGCTTGGTGGATTCAGAAGACTTTTATAAAATGCAGGGAAAAGCAACGAATTTGATATGTATCTGGGAAAAAGTAAGGAATCTACCGTAAAGATTTCCTAAAAAAACGTAGCAGTTCGCCGAAATGATTATGTTAAAAATAAAAGTTTATTCCCGCGATAGTCAAACCAGTAAAGATCAGTAATGAAACTTCGACTGTGGCAACACTCAACTTAAGCAGTAGTCCATTAAAACAAACATTGACATTTGAAAGAAGACTGATAATTCAATTCGGAAAGGAGACTGGTAATTTAATTCGAAAAGGAGACTGATAATTTAACTCGAAATTAGCCTTCGTCACAGACCAAATCGAATATCAACTTAAAGTCAATTTAATCGAGAGAATAAATTTTTCAACATCTGTTAGTGTGTCGTGTCTAAAGAAACTTCTGTAAAAATTGCTTGCCAATACTCCGTATTCTATATACAGCTGTATTAAAATAACAATTATTTCTGAATAACTATAAACGAAACTTAAGTGTTTACAAAATAAAACTACGATGTATTACAAGAGGCAAATATCTTCAATTCAATTTTCGATAAATTATTAACTTCCCTTACTTGCAGCAGCTCTTCGACAAAATTCTGATTCACCACTGGAATACCCTGGACGAATAATTGCTCAAGACTAGGGCAATTTTCCACCAATGACGTCAACCCGTCTTTTGTTACAAGAGGCAAATACGAAATGCTCAATTTTTTCAATTGTCTACACCACTTTGATATTTCTTGCAGCCCCTTGTCCCTGATACTATCGCAGCCACAGAGGTTAAGACTGACTAAGTTAGGCAACTCCTAAAAAGAACATATTCAGTCAATAACATTAGAACCAGGATATACTGTGCTTTATTGAGACTGAAGTTGAATATCCAGTACCAACATAGATCTTCAATTTCGAGGTTTACCTTTCCCTCCAGTAAAAATCTAAAATACAATAACTGGAAAGGAAAAATAAATACATATCTTAACTACAAATTCTAAAAAACTCCAAATTAACCAATTAAAAGAAAACTGATACCTTTAGAAGCCATTTCAGTACATTATCAGTGATGATGTATCCACAATTTTTCAAGCTCAAAGACTTTAATTCTGGACACCTTTTACACACCAGTTTAATGGTTTTTTCTGTCACATACACATCATTGAAGTCAATTTCTTCCATCACTCTACCAATCACATTAGGAAGTACAGCATTAGTGAGTTTCTTTTTGAATTTTAATCTGTAGAAGATTTGCCTAAGAATAAAAGTAATAGTTTCATTTATATGATAAATGTCTCTGTTGGGAGGCACTGCAGCTCAGAGCCAGGGAATGCATCTAATGATGGAAACAATAGATTACTGATAAAAAAGAATTGTATATTCAGCTATATTCATTTGAAATATTTGCTATATTCTTTCAGTATAAGAAGAAAAAGTTGATGTCACAAAATGTTTCTTTACAAGCTTTTGCACAGTTGGCAATCTTTTACTTAACATCTAAGAGGGCTTGCTAACCATTGGCAATTTGCCACAAGACTGCATTGGCTTGCTTGCTCTCGACAGAAGAGACATTTGAAATAAATTGGCAAAAAATAGTATGCTAAAATCAGCATCAAAAACCAATAGTTATGCCCAATTCAAGGCTAAATATTTTCAGAGAAGCAGTAAACTTCTGTTAAGAGAATGACAACATACCTTAAAAGAAATTCATCTGGAAAATGCTCTAAATCATAAATCTTGATGTTATTGCAAATAAATGCTGTACAAATTTCAAGAAGCCTGTTCACTTCACTATCCTTGTGCTTCCCAGCCTAAAAATACAGATCTGAGATTTGATTGCAATTTTTAACAAATTTACTTGAGCCAAAAAGTTAAAAGTTTTTAATGCAGAATTTCACATAAGATAAAAATACCAACTATTGAGTAAATATCAACCTCAACTGAAAAATGTTAAACATCAAAAGAAGCAGAAACTCATACCGGTGCAAACTTTCTGTTGTGAGTTGCTCTAATAAACATATTATCCTTGTCAAGAGCCACTTCAAATCTTTTCTTGCCAGAAACAGTTAACTTTTCAACCTCTGCCAATAGGTCTTCTTTTGTATAACGCTGCATGGATTCAAGCTGAAGGAGATCATCAACTTTTGTAAATCCTAAAAAAAGTAAATTGAAAAGAAGTAGATGCATTCTTGCAATGAGAAGACAGTTCTATACTCAAAGTAAGCTATTGCAAGAGTGGTAATTCCTGTGCCCCTTCTTGAAAATTCCAAACTGGGACTAAAATTTGCCCCATGTATAGGAATTATTTGAAATGACAGGTCTGCAACACTCTCCCCTCATAACAGTCAAAAAAGTGAACGCATTAGGAGTCAGGTATATTTAACATTCAACTAGTAATAAGCCAAACTTCACAGTTTGTTTTTAGCAATGTTTACCTTCAGTTTGACAAACTGCCCAAAGGACCCTGAATTACTTGAAAACATTCAAAACCTGCTGATTCTAAAATCATGGTGTGTTAAAAACAAGGTTATTGGTTTGATAAGATAAAAACACAGTTCTCCATTGTTTTAGAGAAAAGACTATGGTCTTCAAAAATATTGGGGGGGGGCAATCATCTCCCCCCCTATTGCCCCCTAGGTCTTTGTCATTGGTTTTTAGCCAAGTTAGAATATTTGAAAGATAATTCCTTTCATATGCAACATAAACACAAACTCAAAACTTTTTTTCACTATCAATCTTTAATTACAATAACAGACCTACCAAGTCACACGCATTTTGTGTGAGACACACACATTTTGCGTGGGACACACACATTTTGATCTTTTCTCACTCTCACACACACCAAAGCAGAATTATCATGCATTTTGCAACAAACTTTTTGGTTTATTTAAATTTTTCAATTTTATTCCAAATCCTAGCAAAATCCCTCTTTCCCATGTTAGCACGATAACAGCGACTAGATAATTAGATGACTAGATAACAGCCAATCCGTACAAGTTATAAGCGATGTTACATTTATTGGCAAGCCTACACAAATAGCATGTTAGCTTTCTTGAGACTATGACACATTGTGAATTGATTGGAATTGTCCTCGAGGAGCATAATATTCCCTAAGTTAGAGTTTCACTATTGCAAATTGCAATCGGGGCGGTCAGAGCGGAGTTACTTTTTCTCGAGAATGATAATTGGGGTAGCAGTCAGACTACGACATTCCACTTGCTCATACGCCTGCATTCCTTCCTCTGCATTCCTGGTCAACAGTGTTGTGCACTTTTGCAATCATTTGCACAGCCTAAATGCACCAGATTAATTCATTTCATGATTATGTACTGTAATAAATTCTTTTTCAATAAAAACTTAATAGAATGGTGAAAAATAAAGCCCCCTCAATCCCCCACCCACTTCTGCACAAAAAAGGCACTTCCAAAGAACTAGAGGGCGTGGCAAAAGAAAGGTTTCTGGGGCTACGCCCCTGGACCCTGCTTTTGGTTGTGTGGCAGTCAGTATTCGTTCTGGATTGGTTAAGATCAGCTTTTGACAACCGAACATTTAACAATTTACCTTCCTTTTAAAAAAACTCACTCATTTTCAAAACTGAAACTCGACAGGTCTGCAATAAAAAGTTCTACATTCTTATTACTGGTTGTTATAAATTTTACTAGATTATGAATAGGATCTAATTTATAGCAACAATTGATATTATTAGCTGACAGACACATGAAAAAAGTCTAGATGGAGCTTTCAAAGCCATTTACAAACATTTGGTTTGATACTAAAACAGCAATACAGGAAGTGAATCTGAATTTGAAAGCAGAAGAAAAGAAAGAAAAAATAATATTGGAAAAAATACAGTTAAAGCAATAACCAAAAGGCATACATATATACATTATAAATTCATACAAAGTTATAAAGGTCAAGCTAATTTTCTAGAAAATAGTTTTTTGCTTTTATGAAGGATGTTTTAGTATTAGTTATTTTTAAAAGGGTTGGTAGAAAGTTCCAAAGTTGATTACTGTCAAATTTGAGAAAATTTTTCTTGAGGTTGGTGGATACTGTTGTGAAAAACCAAGATGGAAGATTGTCTTGCTAGTGACGACGTAATTTTGTTTTCATGGTAAATTCCTATTGGAGAGCAGCAGTGCTTGTGTTTTTATTCATTTCAAACATAAATGCCACTGTTTCAAGCATGTAGCATTTATCAAAATTTAGGACTTTCAGAGGTTTGAAGGATGGGTCACTGTGTGCTGTCAATTGTGCAAAGTCAGCAGTTATTCTAATCGCTTTACATAAGCTACGTTTTATTGGTCTAGACTTGAGTTTGATATCGTAAACACATCACAAGCCTAGTTTCCAATAGAGAGTGTGGAGTTGGATAAATGAACAATACAGTATTCTTAGCCTAAGATCTAAGGTACTTTTTGAGAGACATTTTCTCAGGTTATAGAGAACTCAAATACCTTTAGAATTTCTTTTTACAAGTTATTAGAATAGACACTGTTATTTGTTTTACGAACCATTGTTGGACACTTTAAGACCTTCTTCAAGTGCACCATATCGAAGAATATATGCCATACGTCGACCAACTTTAGATCTGACAGCTTCTTTTCCCTCCATTTTCATCAAGATAAGGTCTGGATCTCATGTTTCGGTGAAAAAACGTAAAAAAAGTTTCAAATCGTGATGCAATCGCCTCGTGCTGAGGAGAAACATCTTGTGCAAACGAGGTTTACTCGTGACGTCAAAACAATCGATTGTATCGTTTTCCAAATTTCGAATTAACATTCTATTAAACCACAAATAGTGGTAAACAAGAAAGCTGGAGAAATAAATGCTTATTTCATTTATAAAAAGTATTAAAAGTAAAAACATTCCAGTCAGTTGAAAAATTTTGAATGGCTTCACAAGAATGGAATTTCTCTTCCTACTTTGCGAATCTGGCACAAAATGCTCCCACAGATGACAAAAGACAATACAATTTTGGCTATGATCATAGTGTAGACGATCAACGAGTCTTTGCAGAGTTGAAGCCACCATGTAACAATCATCTCATATCAGGAGGGGCAAACGACCATTGCGAGGAAGGAATGCTGCATTTTGGAACTAGCAATTCTGTCGCAGATGCTTTTGTGCCAAATATATTTAGGCCGCAATCGATAAAATCAGAATTATCAACTAACACGGATAACTTAGAGAATGTCATTGAGCAACAGCTAGTCTCGTGGGATCTGAATAGACTAGTTGGCCTAGGAAACGACGCTATAATTGGAGGAGTTGTTGATGATGATTTGCTAATGCTGAAGAGTGAAGAAGATTGGGACGTCGACTGTGAAAATGCAATGCAATTTTTGTCCCAGCCCAACATAGATGCCCAGATAAAAAGAGAAGGAGATATAGCACAAGATGAATTTCAGTTTCCACAATGCGTAGAAGAACAATTTCGTCAGCTAATACTGCGAGCAAATGAACAAGAAGAGCGACAGTGTACAAAGTGCGGCGGTATTGCTCCTAGAAGGGATGGGAATCAAACACTGTACATTCGAAACGAGAAGAAAGCAAAAGATGACAGCAATACCGCAACCGAGTCGAAAACCACAGAAAATCTGGTCGTCAATTGCAAAAGTGAGCTAAACGACGAAATAAATAGTGGAAGTAATGACTTTGTCAATAGTAGTTATTTTCAAACTAGCAATTCAAAAGAACAATCTATAAATGCGCCAGAGGACAAGGGTTTCTTGCCAAAAGATACACTGAAGAAAGTAACACACAATTCGGGAATCGAATCTAAAATTGAAGATATTGATAAAGTATTAACACATATAGATCCGGATTTGGATGTACTAGGCAAAACTTTTCACAAAATACCCAGTACTCAACCGATTTACTGCGACGAGGAGCCACGAAATGATGAAAATGGGAACGATAATAGAATCAAAAGGCCTATGAATGCATTTATGCTGTGGGCTAGAAAATACAGGTTTGCTATGCATTGGAACTCTATGTCTCTAAAAATTGTTTTTTATAATCCCTGAAAAATTTGGTACACACTATGTCTTCTTGCCCTTACAACAATAATAACAACAAAAAATATTCCAGGTTTAAGCTTGCAAATGATGTGAAAGAGATGAAAATGATTTTCATTCAGACGTTTTGTTAATGTTTGACTGATTGGATGGAAGGACTTATTTTTGCAATGGGTTGAAATGAGAAGAAGCAGCAGAAATTGAAAGAAAAAATTCTGTAAAATGACTTGATTATGAAATTCTTTTAAAGTTCACAAAGTTCTAAGAAATCTTCTGACAACGTAAATTTCATTTACTTTAATACTTCTGACAACTCGTTTCTTTAATTCGGGAAAAATAACAATATCCTTTAGGCTTAAATACCAGAAAACAATCATCATATATCAGTGCTGTGATTTGATTATCGCTAAACCAACATAAAACATAGATGATTAATTTCTTTCAAAAATATCAGTTTTATAAGTAAGTAATACAAATTAAGGTTTTTTGTTTGATATGACTGAGTTCAGGTAAAAAGCGATTATCATAGCATGATTTTTTGCAACGTAATTGGCTAATAAAGCTTAAGTTAGACGATTAAACATACTGTTGTGCATCAAAGGATGCCAATCTATAGATGCCATCGCTGCAATGCAATTGCAGCATACTTCTTTTTTTGCAATGAGATTAGTAAAAAAGAGTCTCGTTACAGAAGTGCTGCCATAACAGCGATATCTTATGTTTTAATAGATATACATTCCCATATCCTGACGGACCAAGCACGATAGATGATGTCACAAATTGACAAAACATTGTTTATTGTTCACACTGGTTTAGATTTTTTGCAATTTGAAAACCTTGAAATCAATATCACGGGGATGGAAATTAAGCCAAAAAGATGGAAGCCCTGGGGCTCTTGATCACCTTTATTGAAGCCAAGGAAGCATACGAATAAATATGTTCACTTCATGTGAACTTTGATAGGGGTACTATAAAAGCATAATAGCTTACATTTACTCCAAAGAAAAGAGATGCATGAAATTCAGCAATATCAAAATTCACTTTTTTCCTCTTGCATCATTCCGTTTTCAGACATAGGTATATCAGTGAATTCATCTTTTCCAAATGTTCGTTTTTAAAAAGATTATTAAGAAGAGCTAAATGAGCTTACCAATTTTTTTTCTTAAGGTCTTTGGTCGCAAAGGAGTTTAGTGAAGCAAGCAACTCAGAGATAAGTGTAAAGCTAGGAGAGATATGGAACGAGCTCACAAGTGACCAGCAGAGCCCTACTTTAAAAAGGCAGAAAGTTTGAAAACTCAACATAAGCAGAGCTACCCGAATTATGTGTACCAGCCACGTCAAGCCACAACAAAAGTGACAAGAAAAACCAAAAGTGCTTCAAACAGCAAAGACAACGAATTTGCTTTTCCTGCCTTGCCGGCTAATTTTGGAAGTCCCTTTGCATTTTTCTGCAACACAAAATCACAAGGTAAGCCAAAACAAGTTCAACTTTCTGAGATAAGGGTTCAAGGTGCCCAAAAGGTATTGAAACACTTAACACGCCTTAAAGGTAATGTGTCCATATAAAAGAACTGCGTATACCCAACTTGTCAAGAAATATCAAAATATGTCTTGCGATTGGTCAGTATTCTTGCGATGCAAAACTGCTTACATGAAAAGCTAACCTCGCAGCAGTGTAGATAAACAGGACGATCGTAATGGCTGGGGTGAGGACATGGAAAATAACACGTTTCTAAAAACCCCTGCAGAGTTTCTTGCTTTAGCTGGACACATTACCTTTAAAGAAACTTGAAATGGAACAGCTTAACTTTTTACTGAGAATGCTACCTTCTTTGGCAATTTTTATTGCTTTTCCCTAATGCCAAAACTGCTCTTTGCCCTGCTCCCAATAATAATGTAGATCATGTAAGTTAATAGTATACCAAAAATCGCTGTTCACACTTTGGAGTGAACCAGCAGTGTCTAAAAGGGTATGAGTGAGAGATGGCTAAAAGTGACTTTAAAAATTATGTTAGTGTCCCAAGACTTTTTGCACTCATTTGGCGAATCAGGCTTACTGACATGTTAAGATCTTTGAATGAAGATGCAAACATTTGTGTAGCAATATCTCTTGATGTTTTAGGTCTGGAAGAAGTCGGTGAAAATCAGGATACCGGTAAAGAGAAGACGAAAAATATTATAATGACACCAAAACCAATCTACCCTGCTGGATACAGTAATCAACGAGCCGAAGGCAAGGCGAAGCCTAATACCGGCAATATAATAGCCGAAAATTGTAACTTGCTTGAGAAGAAGAGCACAGTAGTGAAGCAAAGGGACTGGTCTGAAGACAATAATGGCGTCGTAAAAAATGCAGATTTAGGGAGCAATTCTAAAGGCGAAGACACGGGCCTCGTCAAAGATGCAATGATGCCTCGTTTTGAAAAACCGGGAGACGAAACTGATTTACCTAGCAGTGACTTTGCGGCATTGAATACAACCGCTTTTGACGAATTTCTTTCAGGAGGAAGTAAAAATTTATCAGAATATCTAGATTGTTGTTTGAAAAAACACGACCAAGAAGAAATCGATGCAAGTATTGTGAATAAATATGGAAAGCGCAAAAGACGTGACTTGAAAAGTAATATTAGAAAAAGGAAGAAGAGTGGAAAGAAAAATTGAATTTATGAGATTAGAGTTTTAAGCAAAGATGAAGATTTCTAACAAGTTGTCTAACATTAAGTGGAAGAGAAATTAAATGAAAAGAAAGTATATGCTGCATTTTCAGCAGTCCTTACCTTAAGATTAAGATATTAAAAGAAGGCATGGGTTTTGACAAGAAATAATACAATAATTGGACATGGAAGCGAGAAGGAAAAATACTAAGTAAGAATCTTTAGATAACAATATCAAACTTATTGGGATTGTAAAGTATCAAGAGTGAAATTATTTTTGGGTTGAAATTACTCTTTTACATTTTTACTTTAGAATTTGAAAGTAATTTGCACGATATTAGTGCTAACTTTAACAATTTATGATATAGCCGTTATTTCATAGAATGACAAAACGTTGCTTTGATTTGAATCAAATATTTCAAATATTTGTTTAAAGGGCGTTTTCTCTGTTTCAAATTTAAACAAAATAACTTACATGATCTTACGCAAAATTTGTTTACACAGGCGATTGATTGTACGGTGAAAAGAAAATATTTATAGGCTAACGAATCATACAAAAATGCCTCAATTTGAGTCTAGTGAGTATAATATGCCTCAAATTGTCTACTTAAATCTGGTAAATAACAACTTTTATCTGTTGTGTTATCTGTGTCGCCTGTCTTGTAAATATTATCCTTATCAGTAATTGCAAGGAAGTTAAATACTTTGCTAATCAGCCTGTGATAACCACAGTAGCAAACTTATTTTGTTCTGAGATGTGGTTGATAACGTGTTCAGGGAAACAACGACGCATTGCTACTTCTTTATGAAAACCTTGTCGCATTTATTGATTATGATAATCACTAGCCATTCACAGGCACCAAATGTGTAGCCGAAATACAGAAGATATTCTTTTCGAATGGGCGATGACGTCACGCGATGAAGTTATCATTTGATTAAGACACGAAAACGGGCTTTGATAAGTTATAGTCGATCTACTTGCAATGAAACTTGAATTGCTGCAATAAAATTGCCCAGCATGGCTTCCTAATGATTTTTCGAGAAGGCACAGACGGATTCTCTGAGAAAGTGACCAATAAGTAATTCGTAAGGATTCAGAAACATCAGTAAGCAAAATATGGATAGATAAAACAATAAAGTTTTCTTTAACATAAAACTGGAAATGCATGGATGTTGGTTTTCGTATAAATACTAGAGCTTTGTGACAAGAAATGATAGTTTTAGGGCAAATCTAAATAGCCACAGACTTGCATGGAAGTTGTAGAGAAGACTTTTTTGAAACAGGAGATAATACTGAAACGTCACGAAGTTGAAATGAGTTTCGGCTCTCTCACGTCAGAAATTGCAAAGAAAAAATTTATACAAGCTGGGAATATTGTTTGACATATAAACGCCAATTTCCATTTGACATTTTTTGTGCGCGCGGCGTAGCGCCCAGTTCTGAGCACGCGTAGTTAAAATCAAGTGGTTTCGATTTTGGGTCCGCTGTGAGCGCCAGAAAGTTGATAGGGTCTCAACTTTTTTGTGCGCTCGGCCACTTGACAGCAGCACTTAGCTACGCATGCTCAGATTTGGGCGCTACGCCCGCGCGCACAAAAAATGTCAATGGAAATCGGCCTTAAAATTATGAATACATTGATCAGCATTCTATGAAGACTTAAGAATGTTGTTTTTGACTGCAGATAACATTAATTGAAGATATATATATGTATATATTATCTTTGGATATATATTAACATTCCTGGCGATTTATCTAATGACCATGCAAAAGGTGGACGGGGATTTTTGGAAGTTTTCACAAAAACTGATGACATGAGGCAATTTTGCTAATTGGTTTTTTTATTAATTGTTTTTGAGAATTTCTTCTCTGGATATCAGCCATCGAATTGGTTTGTAATTACCGGTTGTTTTCTTTTAAGGACACTCTGTGAATCTTGACAGATATATCACAGGGGTTTCGGAAAAGCAATGGGCACTACCACGTGTCCAATTGCACAGGTCTACGCTTCGGTTTAAACGATAAACAGGTTACTAAGCCATTCCACATGTTCAATCTACGCGTCTTTACATACTATTACCGACAGTGTGGTAGAAAAGGCCGTCCAAGGCCCTCACGCAAGATAACATTGAACAAACTATGATCTCTAGCAAGCAAAGATATACCGAGAATCGCTTGAGCAACTTTTTATGCTGCTGGTTTTCAACCATTTGTTTTATCCCTGTTTACCGTAACAACGTAGACTAATATACCGAAAAATCACACTATTACACAGGGCCTGTGCCACAAGGGGGGCGGGGGGGGCGGGGGCGGGGGGCGGAAGGCCATGGTCACCCAAGAAACATCATACATTAAATTGCTTAATAGCAAAATCTGCCACACAAGTAACTGAATTTTGCTGCAATAAGCATAATTTGTCTTACTGATCGACTTATAATATTATTTAGAAATAGAAAGTTTAATTTTTCAAGAATGCCAAAGACAGAACGCATCACAAAATTCAGAATCTTGAACATACTTTAATCTCCAGCAAGCTAAAGATATACACAGAATTTCTCTATATAAGTTGCTGCTTGTTCTCAAAAACCTATTTTATATCGCTCTGCACTGTAACAACATAACGCCAATATAATTATATTATATTCAGTAATTGTACAAGAATTAATGAAATAATGCTTTATAGGCAACAAAGAATAGAGAAACGAAAAAATCGTAAAGAATTTACATTTAAGGAGGTATGTTACGAGACCTACAGAGAGAATCCAGAAAACATTAATGATACTTGACAAGGCAAATGCATAACTTGATAAGAGTAAATAAATTGAGAGAAAATTACCGTTGTGTTTGAATTTCTATTTTTTCCTGAGAAAGCGTGAGGACCAGACCATAGATGGTTTGATTTAAATTCCATTAGTTAGAAACATCTATTCAAACGATACTAGCAAAATTTGCGAAAAGCCAAAAAGGGGGGATTTTATCTGGAGAAAGGTTGGGACGTTTTCTGAACTCTACCTATATATAACAACATGGTTTTGGATGAAATGAGATATAAATAATTGAATTAAACCAATGTGCATATCGTTCTAAGATTTATTCTAGCATTGCAGAGACCATGCCATCCAAAGATGAAACCTCCTTTTGGTCGAAAGTAACAAGATCATCGTTTAATGACCAAACGGAAACACAGCCGTCAGCATCGCCAGTGGCAATCAATTTTGACCTTTAAGAAATTAAATTGTAAAATAAGTGGATTAACTTATGTTAACTTCATGAAAATATAAAACAAATGCGTGTATGTGAAGTTGTCCTCCAGGATCTATATATTTATGAAAGGTGAGTATCGGGGGGAAAGGTTGAAATATGTTAAAACATTACACTAGACAAGCCGTCTTCTTAGGCCAACACACTCTTAAGCTTTTAATAAACTTTATATCACAAACAAAATCAAGGTACATAGCTAAATAAGTGAAATCTTGAAAAATGTAATGACAAGGCAAAGTTATTTCTAGAAAAAAGAAAATTCTACTTAATAGCAAGATTTGCCATTCAGCATCAATATTGGGGATTTGAGTGGATTTCAAAACTACATGCAAAATATCGATTTACTATATCACTTCGTTACGAATAGGAAGAAAATCACTCTTAGATAACTGAGCAGAAAAGCGGAATGAACTGAATGGCTTCATAATGTTTCGGGGAGCATAAAATGAACTCAAATAGAATGTACTGTTTTTGTTTACTTTCTTTAAAAAACAGCATGTTTTCAATATGTTGAAAACATAGTTGTTTATCAAAGATCTGTTTAACGTCCGTTCTAATGCACGTAAAATCGAGAAAGTGTTAATGATAGCCTGAACCCAACAAGAATAATAAACATCGCGAAATTCACGTTGGAATGGTTTGTTGCTGTTAACAATCGGCCTGGTACAGGCTGAACGAACATTAACGAGTCGTGAGAAATTTGACAAAAAAACGTACCGTTGTGGGTTCAGATCAATTGCATAAACAGCTTTTTTTGTCGAGGAGACATCGATCACATTCGTTGGTTTTATCTGGCTGACCTTCAAAGTAAGGATTTTGATTAATTCAATGTTTATGGTGCTCGAAAATACTTGAATCCTACGCAGAAGCTCTTATCAATGATGACCTATCTGGGTAAACAGAAGAGAAATTCTGTATTGGGCTATAATAGGACAGCTACCCTATGATGATGATCGCAATTATGATTATAATGATTAATGACGATGATTATTATAATGACCATTGAGATAATACGATTCACGGGGACCGCTTACGAAATCTTACTGGGGTAAATGCCCCTCGGCCCAGATTTACCCCATGTAAACCAATCAGCAATGCGACTACCGCATGCCTCTAGCAGGGTAATTGCCAAAATTTGGGTATGGATGGAGAATTTCAATTTTATGACATGTCACATTGCATGGGTGATAAGCATAAAGTCTGTTCAATCGTTCGTAGCCTTATCGATTACTAAACGTTTCATCATCTCTTTTAGACAGATCCTAACATCCATATCTCCGCTATTCGTTAACACAACGTGTTACAATACTTAGACAAATGCACTGCTATTAAATGCGCTAGTAACATTTTAATTAAGGATGAATCTAGAACCGTTTTACATCTTTAAATTGTGAAAATGCAGAAGGTTTCAGGAAACTAAGCCAAAGCATTCGCAGTTTTCGCATGAAGAAATGCAATAGATATGACCAGCAAAATACAAACGAACCTTTAAGTCGTAAATAAGTAATTTGCCATTTTCTGTCGTGAGAAAGAACACAAGAGGCCTTGATTGTGACCACTGCGCGTGCAGTAAATATCCAGCTCCAGGCTCGATTGTGTACAAAGGTTTTATCTAAGAGAGAAACATGACACAACTATTTAGTTTAAATGGTATCATAAAATAAAATCATAAAATGGTATCATCATAAAATGTACAGGTTAAAAAGAAATAAAACTGTTAATCGGCCTTCTTGTGGCGCTTGATGTCGTGTCGGAGGACTGCTTAACTCACTAGAGCAGGATTGCTTCACTCACTATGCTTAAATCACGAGCACAATTCTACAGCCAAATAGTCACGAAGAATATAACTGCATTTTCCTGTGATAAAACATTACGCCAAAGAAATATCACATCTACTGTCACCAGAATGTATAAAGGTTAACGAATATGATGTTCAAGAACATGTTAACATGCTTTCCATGTACATAAAGATAGAGAAGAAAAATACGAATTACTTTATGAATAAGGCTTAATAGTGGAGAAATGACACGAATCTAAAGCAAGGAAGCACGCACTATCGAGGTTAAAAATGTAGGATCTATAAAGGTTTAGTCTTGAAAGCAAAATTCTATCGTTTTCAACTCAGGCACTTATCCTTTTGAAGTCGTCACGTAAAGATACCATTTTTAAGCTACAGCGTTTGCTAGACTTTTGTGTTCGATTGGAACAGAACTATAAGCATATTCAAAAAGAATTATTGTAGAGAGTGAATAGCGTGTAAACTTTTACAATATTGCAAGCGAGTGGAGTAGTCTACAAAATAGCAGAGGGAAGTTTATTCACATGAGATATCATCAGCATAGAATAGGAATTATGCAGATGAGGATGCACATCAGGTGAAGCCTGAAATCTAGCGCATGCGTTAACACGGAAGCATAACATGCTCTACAAAAGACATTGAGGAACTGTGCAATGACTTAAAAACTGAGGTTTAGAACATTGCAGAGTGGATGCGGCAAAATAAGCTTAGTCTGAACAACAATAAAACTGAATAAATGGTCATTGGTCATAAAAGACGAATTAGCCATATCCAGGGGGGATAAACGTGGAAATAAATGGAGAAAAAATCCAACGAGCCCATGAAGTAAAATATCTCGGAGTCACTATCGATGAAAACCTATCTTGGAACAAGCAGTACAAGAGGCTTAAGTGTAAACTTAAAAGTGGTCTTTCTTCGTTGAGGAAACTTAAAAACATCCTCCCACTGTCGAAATTGGACCAGGTTTACAGGGCACTTTTCGAGAGCCATCTAAGATACGTTGATGAATTATGGGGAAGTCTGTCCGCTACAAAGTTTGAACATCTTCAGCGTTTTCAAGACAGGGCTCAAACATTAATTGAAAGTACTAAATTTGAGGACGGGTGGATTTATAAATGGCTTTCAGTTTCTAATCTAATTAAATATGACATGGCCATAATGACGTACACAATGATGAATGGTCTTTGCCCTGACAGCCTTAAAGATAAATTTACTAGTAGATCAGAGATATCCAGGTATTCGAAAAGGAATCAGCTTGATATTGACATCCCAAGACAAAATTTGGAATTATCAAAGGGAAGTTTCTTTCACTCTGGGGCCAAAACATGGAATGAGATTCCAAGAAACATCAGAATGAGCCCCACAAATTCCATTTTTAAAAGAAACTTGACAGGATTCCTACAAAGTTAATGAATTCCCAAAACAAAACACGATCCCTAGGTAGAACAGCTACACATTTATTTTATATATATTAAAGATATAATTGTAATAGAAGAAGTTTATTTATATTTGTATCATAGCTGATAGGGAATTCTTGTATAAAGATTTTAAAATAAAATGAAAAATGAAAGGAAAGAGACTTTGCATGTAATGGTCGCGGAATTTTTTTCGCAAAAGAAACAACTTAACTTGGATAAAATTTCCAATGGCAGTAAAAAGTTATAAACAATAGTTTAGATCATAATTATTCATGACTGAGTTCGTCTAATGAAGCAAGGTTAAAGGGGGAGGGGGTTTAGAATTCAGAACCAGCTTCAAAATAACAAAGGAACCGAGAAACCCTTCTGTTTAATTTCTATTCTGTGTCAGTAGGACGATTTTGACAATTTGGATGTGGTATTATGAAACAAGCTAAATTAGCTTTTTCAATGTATTTCTTCAAAGTTCCAGTTCTACATTTTATGGTTTGGTGGAGAAAAAAGAAATATTCGTGCACTTTGCTGTTTCATCCAACTTTTTATAGATTGCTATTCTACATGCCGACCAATTCATTTTCAATCTGATAGATATAATTAAAAATCAACTGAAGAACCGTGGATCAACTTATTTATAATCCAAAGCAAAACAGTAAAACGCCTGCGTAACATAATCAACACCTTCCATCATATATCTTACATTGAATAATTTCTTCAAACAATGGTTTACATTGATGCAAAAATCTTTGGCTGTAAATTGACAAAATTGCTAATTTATGGAACATGAAATCCAATGAGTCGTCTGAACAATCTTCCAAATTCTAAGCTATATCTTGTTTACATAACAAATTCGCTTCTAGAGGCAGCTGACATTGGCAAAACTTTATTGATGGCAAAATCATTTAAAGACTTCGATGAAGATTCGATGAAGGCATTAGGACTAATGAAATTAAACAGTTTAGCGTACAAGTATTGTTTGAACATGCTATGCAAGCTTTGTAGAGACGTAAGTCTTCAAAAAGTGACAAAATTCGTATATTCAGGGGCATTCTGGAAAATCGGATGAATTAACGAAACAACCTAAACCATCCCTTCCTATTTTAAATGAACTAAAATAAGCACAACTATATCGATGACAAAACCGTGTAAAGAACTCGGCAATTCAAGATATGCTGAAGAGAGAAAAAAACCAAAATACAAAATTGTAAAGAAACCTCTTGGCAGAAAGGAAGACCCGGGGGAGGGAAACAAAAGAATGTCAAGATATAACTATCCGCAAATAGAATAAGCAGCAAATTGTCATTGAAGTGAAAAGATAAGAGAAAAAAACTGGCTAATTGCAATCTGAGAGGATCAGTTGCAATGAAAAGCCGATTTCAAAAGCAGCAAAATTCATAAGAACAGAGACGTTACAGGAAGCCCGATAAAGGAGAAATTTATAGCATGTAAAAATCATGCAGAATGGCTAATTCCCCGCTTTGACAGTCTAATCACGTGCAAAGTTCAATCAATTACGAGCTACCTATCAATCAATTACTTGCATAGCATACAAAGTAGTAAAAGAGGGCCAAGTGTATTAGGAATGTCCTCCTTTCCAATATTAACCTCGTAATCATTTAATTTATGAAGCAGTTTACTTTATGATATATATTTCAGCAAGTAGTTTGTAAAGCATATTTCTTTTGATGATAAAGCAGAACCACAAAGGGAGCACCGTTCTCTTCGTCACAATTTTTCGATAAAGATTCCGCTACATAAGTCAAATGGGGAGAAGGGGGGGGGGGGAGGGTGGTACCAATTTTCATTGCCATAGGTTGTCAAAGCAAAATTATCCTGCAAGGTTAATTTGATAAAACGTTGTGGGCAGCATTGATGATCTGTGCACAAATATTGTAAATTATCGACTATGCAACTCTATCTGACCCATCATAAATCTTTCAAAAATACGTTGACTTGTGTGCATGTCATTGTAAATGATAAATTTCATATCCAGCCTTCGTGACTCTCGTAGTATTTTTGAGGATTTTCAAAATCTCCGTCGTATAAAAGAAAAATTGAAACTTTCTTCAAAACCACAAATTAGGTCGAAGCTGAATTTTTACGGTACATTCTTTGAGCTATGGCAATCGGAGAAACAGGTAACATTGTTAGGGTATTAACTGATTCTTGTTATTCACCATGGCTAGATTTCTGTTTACTTGGCAATTTGTAACCTATTGTAGAACGTAGATGGTAGAAATTTGCTTGTAGCATTCATATCAAACGAAGCGTTGATAGAATATAATTCAATGTGTTTGCAATCAATGAATTTTTAACTCGTGTTTTCGGTCACTGGCTTTTTGGGCCAAGGTTCTTAAGAGATCCCGTGTGCTGTATGACAAATTATACTTAGGTAACTCGGTATATTTATAAACCATAATTAAAAAGATACATATGCGTGTTTTTCATTATGGTTTATTAATGTACCGAGTTACCTGAGTAGAATTTTCAACTTTTTTGACAAATAACTGGGCAAAATCTTGGTATAATTTACTCATTTGTGTATCTGTTTAAAAATAATAAGCATTTTAGACTTCACAATAGACACAACTTGAAGAATATGCGAAAGATAAAAACCATAAATTTGATATTTCAGGGTTTTTTGTATTTATCACACGTTTGCTTTCTGGATCTTCTCTTGCATATCTAAATTCAGAAAATTATATATTTTCACACATTTAAAAGAAAAATTAAACCACACACAAGGTGGAAATAGACGGCTGCAATTTCACAATAAATATGGCTGCATTAAAAGCATTTCATAAATTTTGCAATTTTTTCTGGAAAAAATACACAACTTTGAATGAAAATGTTCTCTTTGTGAGGAGGTAAATCTGATTTAGAGATCAATCTTGCAAACCACGATTTTTCAAGCCAAAGAAATGCGTTTATACGTGGCAATATGCCTTTTTTCCCAGGGGTCTGAACGGACCATTATGGAGTCACGGGGGATAGAGATGGCTCCAGTTGGTTGCAAAAGTAGTTCCTCGTCAAATGACGGAGAGAGGAAATAATTCACATTTCAAATTCGATGTTGGAAGGCGAATATCATAGACATCACAACGCTAAACTCGCTATTGTAGCCCTGAATTAGCAAAAAGCGGTGCACATAATATTGGCATTAACTTAACTTACATGGTATATCAAAACTCTTTAGGGAAATTTTAAAACCTTAATCAAAATGTTATCTAAACAATATTTTAACTGTACTTTACCCTATGCTAAGCAAGAACAAGCCCCCGGAAAATAAACGTGTCGTCCTTCAGAACAAACATTGTTACTGAGAGGATATCTGAGCATTTCAAAAATTAGAGAAAAGGTCCCCCAATAAACAGAGTATAAACACAGAGTCGGAATGAA